ATGCGTGCTTGAGTTTAACATTTGAATGAGGAACAATCTGTGTCAGGTTTGATAAGACTGCTGAGGAAAAATCCTGACAATGTCTCTCAAGATGAAAGCATTTGAAATCTCAGCATTTGAGTGCATCTGAAGACTTCAAGCTAACTACTTTGAGAAATGACAAGTCAGCCAGTCCTTGGCACTCCTAATAGAGTTATTTTGGGTTTTCTGGCAGCCATGTGGGTCGAATGAATGATGGATTCTGTGTAGAAGGTGCATCAGGCTCAGCTTAGGTGAGACTGTTCATCATAGCAAAATTATCAAATTCACTTTGTCCCCATGATTTTGTGTAGTTAGATATAGAAAACTAATTGGTTACCTAACGTAACCTCGGATCTCTCTAGATGAGGGAACGAGTATTGCGTAAGCTAACTTAAGCTACGGGGAAAGATTCATCTTTTCTGAGAAGTTGAAGCCAAAAAATTATCCTTTAATTTTGTATCAATTGTCAACACAGTTCATCGGCAGCAGACCATGAGCGGGCTAGCTAGCAGCTCATTGGTTCGCTCGGGGAGAACTGTTACAGCCTATGAGGGAACACGCTCTCATTGCGTCAAAGCCCGCCAAAACGGCGTGGCCCGAGTCTATAAATAGGCGAGTTTCCCGCTGTTTTCCGGTTTTCATTGAATGAAGCGAGAACACTAGTAGCACGACCGGGAACGCAATACTCGTTCCTTCATCTAGAGAGAACCGAGGTTACGTTAGGTAACCGATTCGTTTTCTCACGAGAGGTTCTCTCGTATTGCGTAAGCTAGCTTACGCTACGGAAACACATGGTCAACGCCGTGCGCCAAGCATCCACAATGAGTCTCGGGAGAGGGATCCCCGAGGACCCTTATAAGTGGGAATTAATAATGTACATGAACATGAAAGGGCCAGCAAGCGGGCCGGGATTGTGTAGTACATAAGCACGAGGGAAGAACAAGCGGCACGCCGGTTGTATGAGTGTAACTCCCAATAGTGCAGCTCAAAACAGAAGAGCTGAAGCATACTAGACTGCTAGTAGTTTAGCCTGCAGGGCGGGTACTTCCAGATTGTAAAATATGACAAAGGTGGAAGGGGAAGCCCATCCCGTTGCCACGCATATGTCTTGAATGGAAATGCCACTGGACCATGCCCACGATGAGGCCATCCCTCTAGTGGAATGAGCCCTGATGCCCAGAGGGCATGGCAGGTTTTTAGATGCATAAACAGAAGCAATAGCATCCACTATCCATCTGGATAGTGTCTGTTTCGAGGTGGCCAGACCTTTAGTGCACCCACCGAACGAAAAACGAAAAGAGCGTCTGAACGCGGCAGCGCGTGTAGTGTACAATCTCAGAGCCCGAACCGGACAAAGGAGATTGGCGTCACATTCACTATCGGATGCGGGCAGAGCCGATGGGGAAATAACCTGAGCCCTGAACGGGGTACCAATCGCTTTGGGGACATAGCCATGTCTAGGTTTGAGGATGACTATAGAGTCATTGGGTCCAAACTCGAGACACACTGCGCTAGAAGAACGCGTGAATGTCTCCCACGCGTTTAACTGATGACAGGGCAATCAGAAAAACGTTTTTTAGCGAGAGGTATTTTAGGTCCACAGACTTTAATGGTTTGAACGGGGGGGCTTTCATAGCTTCGAGAACTATAGAAAGATCCCAAATGGGAACCGAAGGGGGGTGCGGGGGGTTCATTCTTCTAGGTCCCCTGAGGAAGTGGATGACTAGCTCGTCTTTTCCCAGAGACTGAGCGCGTCGGGGTTCAGCGAACGCCGCGACAGCTGCCACGTAAACCTTGAGAGTGGATGGGGACCTGCCCTTGTCCAGCATCTCCTGAAGGAAGACGAGTAAAGACGACACCTCGCACTCCAGTGGGTCTAGGTTTTTGTCGGTGCACCATTTTGAGAACACAGACCATTTTGACGCATAGAGCTTCCAGTAGAAGCCGCTCTGGCATTCATGGTCGTGTTTAACACTCCCTCTGGCAAAGCAACGAGAGACGGTCCCCATGGTAACGCCCCGTTGAAACCATTCTGTCACTGTCCATGGCTGCAGAGCCGAGATACAGGTCTACATAACTTTGATCAGCTGGCGGCCCATGGTCCATGCACGGTGAGACACACGGCTCTTCAACCAAAGCTGAAGGGGGCGCATGCGCAGTAGACCCAGCTGAAGCACTGCGGAGGCTGAGGCCATGTAACCCAGCGCCTTCTGAAAAGTTTTCAGAGGCGTGAGGGTGTCCATCTGAAAGGATGCAGCGAGACGCTGAACATGGCACGTGCTGTGTAGATAGGCAAGCCGTCATAGCCACTGAGTCTAGACCTATTCCCAGGAAGGAAATCATCTGACTGGAATGAAGTGGAATGAAGTGAGAGGCCCAGTGTGTTCAGATGCTCGAGGAGAACTGTATGATGAGACAGCAACTCCGTCTGTGATTGTGCCAAAATCAGCCAGTCGTCCAAATAGTTCAAATTTCGTAGCCCCTGACTCCGCACGGGGGGTGGGGTGGGGGGTGCGCCGTATCCATGCACTTCATGAGCGTACGGGGTGCTAAGGATAGGCCGAACGGGAGGACGGTGTATTGATAAACCTGACCGTCGAAGGCGAAACGTAGAAAAGGCCTGTGACAGGGATTTATCTGGATCTGAAAATAGGCATCTTTCAGATCTCTGAGTGAAGCGTGTTTGCTGCTTCTGAACTCACTGTAGTTTCGAGCCGCACCCGGAAGCGTGAACGGCGGTGACAGAACTGTAACAGATAGCCGTATTTTATTTTGCTTAGCACCCATGGGGAGATTCCCGGAATAGCTTCCCACGCTTAGAAGCGCGACGCTAGCGGGTGAATGGCTATATCGCCCTGATTGTTGCACATAGCGGGCTGGATACAGTGTGTGGGCACGCTAGAATAGTTAAGGCAACGGGACTTACACTCAGAGAGGAGTTAATGGGCCGTGTAACAGAGCGGGCAGAGGGGGGACTTATGCACTCTGACACTCGAGCGGGCTGTGTCCGCTCTATGGTTGTGGGCTCTGAGAGAGACACGGGACATATGGTGCTTTTGTGTATGGGTGAACACAGGATTGTGGGCACATTTTTCTACACAAGAGGCTTTTATGCAGAGGAGGGACACGTGCACGGCTCGTGGGCGTGCTTATGAACTCTGACACTCGAGCGGGCAGTGTCCACTTTATGTGAGTGGGCTCTGACAGAGACACGAGGAGTGTGGTGCTTTTGTGTATGGGCAAATACAAGATTGTGGGCAAATACTCTACACAAAAGGCGTGTGTATACATACACATGTATGTGTATACACATAGCAGGCTGAACAAGTGTGTGAGCGCAGTGCCAATGGCTGTTTAGTGAGTGACTTCCCGATAAACGTGAATGGGGAGTGAGTCATGGTGTAATGAGCGAGCGTGGTCACGGGCACGGGTGTGGTGTTTGTGTGTAGGAGTGAACACTGAGCTGTGGGTACATATACTACACTTATAGCATGTTTGGCGTAAGCAGAACCAACCAGACGTTATGCACTTATGCCTGATTGCATTTTAGCCTGATACAGGCTCCACAAGTGACGCGCAAGCAAGCCAAAGACTATATATAGCCTGAAAAGGCTGCACTTATGACGCGCGTGCATATAGAAACGTGAGCGCTGCAAGCGGGCACGAGACTGAAGAGGCTGGGATGCGCGCGACCTGGCCCTGTAATAGAGCGGGCAGAAAGAAGATGTGAGCACAGTTGTGGGCACATCTGTTACAGATAACACTCTAGCAGCATAGCCAGCTAAGAAAGTGGGCTCTATTAGACACGGGAATGCTGTGTTTTAATATGGGTGAGCACAGGGGTGTGGGCACCTATTACACTTGAACAGAAATAGCGTCAAACTTAATCTGTCGGTGTTATTGCAGGCGTTCATGTTATGACAGGCTCGTTGCTGCAATAAAGACATTTTCGGCCGCTCGAACGAGGAAAGAGAAACGTTAGAGAGATGGTTACTTAACTCGGCGGGTTAAAAACACACTCGTTTCTCATGTCGCCGCTGACGCATGTGCGCGGCAGAGCTGCATAAAATTATCTGCAAGAGCCGGAATCGATCACGGGTCTCTGGCGCGAAAAGCTTTGTGTTTTACCACTGAGCCACAGCAGTAAAGACACAAAGCTGAATAGCGCGAGCAGATAAGAGGGCATGATAGTGGCAAACAGGTCCAGCCTCGGCGGAACTAACACACCATAAACCCATTTTTGGTGAAGCTATGTCTCGATAGCCTGGTTCCTTTTTAGTAGTCCGAGCCATAGTCGTCTTGGGATAAGACATATCTAAGGACAGTCGTTATCACGAAGAAAGTTGTTCCCTGCTGGTTCGCCATTACAGGGCACCGAAGTGGCTGTGCAACCAGTCTCGAGAGACTGGTCCCCTTTTTGGATTTTCTGGCAGCGTGTAAGTTACTGCCAAATATATCTTGTTGGGTCCTGCTCACTATAGAAATGGTTTAAGAATTCAGCTTGGTTCTACCACCCAGATTTCTAGGGGTGGATTTCTATGACTTGGATCAAGGCTCCACTCCATGGTATAGGGTGCTTGCTTCTTACTATGTGCAATGACTTCGCACAGAACAGGGATTTGCTATTATAGCGTAGTGGGTACAGCATCTCGACGAAGCTCAATTTCCCTTGTAAGGTTACGTCTCAGGTTACGACTGTAACCCTGAGAGGGAACGAGACGCTGCGTCGCCCAGCCATACTCCCTACATGCCTGTGATCGACTTGCTTTGGCCTATCTGAAGCTAGCACGGTCTGTTTTTAGGTGTTCTTTATAGTTTCTTGGTTGATGACGTCACCCGCCTATGTTGTCTTGTCATCTTTATTGGACTGATTACACATGTGCATTACGACGCAATCACACAGGGGCGTTCAGGAAACCAGGGTTACAGTCGTAACATGAGATGTTATTCCGTTATACACATAATACATAACAAATGTGTTGATTAATTATAATTATTTATTTTTTTTTTGTATGCTTTGTCATAATTGCTCTTGTATGGCCATGCAATAAAACTGATTTTTAATTTTTTTTTTGTAGAAATATCTATATAACATTCAGGAAATTAAGGCAAAGAAAGCAGTTCTCAAACACACATAGTATCAGGATAGAAACAGCAGTACTGCAGGTCATTTCATCAGACCAAGTCTTTATTGAGCTCGTGTTTCAGCACTGTTTAGTATGAGACGTCTCTTGCATGGGACAGATCGTCATAGTGTCAGAGGCCTTATCGCAGCAGTAGAGGTAGAAGAACGGGAAGAGTTTCTCTTTAAACGAGTCCACAAAGGTGTAGATGTGAGTTTTGTTTTGTACATCATAGAATGACAATTGTCCTTCTTCGTAGTCCACATATACGCCCACTCTCTTCAGCTTGGGCTCGATGGAAAGCAGGAGGGGTGGAGAGGAAGAAACACGATATTCTCGCCCTTTCCTCATTGCTAAAGCCCAATAACCGTGAGCCGTACTCACCGAAATCCTCCCTTTTCTGTTTACAGATGCCCTGGCGACACCTAGGTACCAGTCGTCCTTCTCGCCCACCTGAACTTCCCAGTAACGGCGTCCGGAGGACAATTCTTCACGGCCGAGTGCAATAACCACTGTATCAAAGCGCTCTGGTGTATCGGGCAGGTCCTGCCATGCACCGAGATGACGCATCTGACGTCTGTCCTCGGATAGCTGCAGCCAAGGGTTAGCAGTGTCCGGGTCAAAGGTTACATCCACTTCACAGGGACATACAACAGAGACATGAGTAGATTATCAAATAGACCGGGCAGTAATAAACCCATTTGAATGTGGTCTAGTGCTATATGACTGATTAAATGAACAAGGAAACATTACCTGAGTACTTCTGAACTCTCCTCAGCTCTGTTTAAGATGACACAAATAAATAAATGAATAAATAAAGTAAAAGTTGGATTGTACTTAAGAGGTTTTTATAATTATTTTACTTCATTAAAACTTTAGAAAAACCTTTAATGTCATGTTATATATTTGCACAATTACAATAATTTGAATGATGAAGTTGCAATTTGATACATTTAAAATATGTTTAAAACACACTTTAACATTGAATAATAATGTTTGTGCATTTGTATGTTTGTCAACACATAAAAAGTGTACTTTAAGGCACAACAAAAAATTATTAAAACACAATATATTTTAAAATGTAATCTAAAATAAAATAAACACAACTGCACTTTTTAAAAGTGTGCTTAGAAACGGGGGCAGTTTCACACACACACAGGGACATCTTTGGAACCCCCAGATGAGGTCTTTAGACAGGATGTGGAGTATAAGGTGATCTACCAAGTCACCACCAGTGATCTATCACTTCGACAAGAGCACCCTCTACGAGGCACGTAGAAAACACACGCCTATGTTTGAAGTGTAACCTGTTTGTTGAGTGGTCTCAACGCACTTCCTTATACCTGAATCACAGGGTAGTTTTTGTGATGCAAATCTTGCAGGCAAATGTGCATTGGCTTGTTTAATCTCATCAGTTCAGTTCTAACATAACCTCTGTTCCGGGGGTTACATTAGAACTTAGACATTTTAGTCTTGAATAGGCTTAGGGCCCTATTTTACACCTGGCGCTATGCAGCGGCAAGCGCGACACACGTGTTTTTTTGCTATTTTCAGTCCGACACAGTTATCATTTTCACGTCCTGTGCCACGTTGTTCAAATGCATTTGCGCCCATTTGTGTGCCCATGGGCACGCTGGTTTGAAAACTAGGTGTGTTCAGGCACATTGTTGGCGCGTTGCTATTTTTAAGCAACATCAATAGACTGCGCCAGTGACCAACTGAAACCTGGTCTCAATTTTTTATTTTTTTTTTGTTATTTAAAGAACGAATTTGCTCCTATAGGCAGGTCCACAATGTGCTTACACTGTGCTTATTAAACACACAGGGACGCACAGCAGCACACACACATGCCAAATATTTAAAATAAAAGGATTAAAATACGATAGTAAATACGAAGTAAACGATTATTGTTGTGTACATATGATGGAGTCCGGCTCGTCACGTAGATGGTCTGCTTGTGCTTTAACCTCACACACTTCGTAAAAATGTAAAAAAGAATATTATTTATATTTTATATAAAATATATATTTTCAAAACCTAGGCTACTCTAAAACTGCAGAAAAATTTAAGCTAAAAAATCTGAATAAGTTGTGTTTAAAATTTTAGGTTGGAAAAATTAGCTTTCAGTAAGATTTTCGGCGCATTATCAAACTTTGTCACTAGGTCACAACCAGCCCATATAAGGGTGCCTCCATTTCCATATGTGTTTTGAGTAATCTGAACCATACATTTTATGAAGTAGAGATCCTATTGAGAAGTATTATAGGAAGTTTGGCAGATTTTGATATGAATTCAACCTCTAAGAAACACATACAAAGAACGCGCATGTATGGAATGCCAAAGCTGACTTAATTCAAAATAAATAAATACATCAATAAATATACGAATAAATGTAAAAGAGCAAAAATACATAAATAAATATATAAATGTACAAAGAAATGTAAAAAAGTACAAATAAATTAGTATTTATACTTTTATTTCTTTATTTACGTATAATTGTATTTTTTCACACATTTATTTATTTATTTCTACATTTATTCATTTATTTATTTCCACTTTTATTTATTTATACATTCATTTATGTATTTATGTTTTTATGTCTACGAACGCAAACGGTGCTGTTTGAATGAGCAGGATGCTTCTGTGCTCCAAAGCATGGCGAGATGCGTGGCTGACTGCGTTTATGAGCCCCTTTTGTTTGATTCAAGAATAATTCAAAATTGATGGCTCGTGATTAATCTGACCATCTAAATATGGGTTGCGTTTTAAGCATTTGAATTGTCATCTGTTATGCATACGAAATTAGAAAACGCGAGGAATGTAAACCGCGGACTGAGTCGCATTTCAAACTAATTGATCAATATGCTTGCGTGGGAGTCAGTGAAATGTGCGCTGGTTTCTCTCCATGTTCTGCGCTGGTGTGAGTCTCATCGCAATAATCACAAGCCAAAAGCAAGCTATCAGCTATCATATTCATGTGTGCTATGTGTGTTAACCCTATATAGCCTACCCTACATACAGTTAGGGTGATATACAGTTTTGTACACGAGTCACAACTTAAAATGTGATATTGACCACACAGCTCTTGCGTTCTGTTTGGTCACACTCCACAAGGTGTCACTGTGGCCTCAAAGCTTCAGCACTGTCACTCTGAGCTCGATTGCTCATGTCTAAGTTAAAACACGCCCCCCTCATTAGCATACGGACAAAAAAATGTTGGAATAAATAAATAAATGTAGACATAAAAACATAAATACATAAATGAATGTAGAAATAAATAAAAGTGTAAATAAATAAATGAATAAATGTAGAAATAAATAAATAAATGTGTGAAAAAATATAATTATACATAAATAAGGAAATTAAAGTATAAATACTCATTTATTTGTACTTTTTTACATTTCTTTATATATTTATTTCTGTATTTTTGTCTTTTTACATTTCTTCGTATATTTATTTATGTAGTTATTTTTAATTAAGTCAGCTTTGGCATTCCATATGCATGTGCGTTATAGCTCCATGCCACATCACAAATGGTGAATTTATTATTTTTTTATATTTAAAACTTTTTTTTTACATTATTTTATTTTTATTTATATTTAAAACATATTTAGACTTTTTTCTGTAATTTAATGGATGCTATCTTTTGAACTCTTGGCATGAAAACAAACTGAGATTTCTACCATTTTTTTAAATTCATGTTCATTGCTATTTCAAAATAAAGGTCTGAACACGCCTTAGGAGTATAAAAATATTCTTGTTGCAAATTGATAAATTACGGCTCCTCTGTAATTTATTTTGAAAATCACCAAATATGGAAACTGGAGATTGTAAGCTTTCAAATGATACACAGTTTGTCAATATTACTTAAGATTTTTTCACTAAGATATTATTGTTTTAAAAATATAATGCAAACGACTTGTGGGACAGTGACAGTTAATGGTTAACACTGTGCCACTTGTTGAGGTGAATATAAAGTATAGGGGCAGAAAAAGAGTGATGTCCATTTGTAAAATACTGTAACAGTAAAGTTCTTACCCATTTCTACAAGTTTGTCTACTTCTTCTGTAAGTGTCTCTTCTAGTTTGAGCACTGCTCTTCTGGTGGTGCCAACACACTGATCAGCATGCACACAGATCTCAGACCAGTCTTTAGTGTTTGGATGTGCCATTAATGATGTAAAGTTCTGGGGAAGACAGTGGACATTTTAAAGAAGCTGTGTGGGATACAACAGAGAATAGCAGCAAATTCCCTTTCAAGGAATATCTGTTCACTCGCCAATATTTCGTTAGCATCCGGAGCTTTTAACGGCAGATGCAGTAATGCAGTGACCTTGCTAATTAGCAATAGTCTCTTTTACTTAGAAGGCGGGAATTATTACACCATATTGGGCATTGCATTTTCTCCCATTCATAGTAATATAAGTGTGCCATCTTTGTATATCTAAACTATTTGTTAGCAAACTCTGAATAATACATCTTGAAAAAGATAATACATCCTGCTACCTTTGAATGTTTGTTACCATCATTGATCACAAAACACTTTGGAGGTCATGTTTAGCACTGTCAATTATGCAAGATGCTTATGAGTTCTTAAAAAGTCATGGGTATCTAGATTTGTTTAATCATTCTCAATTTAAATTTGAATCAAATTATCCACATCAACAAAATTGACAGTGAAGACTTTTTACATTAGTAAAAAAAAAAATATAGGGTAAAAATATTTTACCTGCAGGAAGTGAATGTGGTCTTCAGTGTGTGAGAGATACCCCAACTCTGTGTTTCTCAGTTTCAGAACATCTATTTCCTGCTCCAGTTCTTGTATTTGTTGGTTGGCCCAGCTCTCTGTCTTCTTCTGTTTCGCCTCGATGTCCAACACCAGCTCGGCCTGGACCTTCTGGACTGCTCTGATCAGATCCGAGAATACCTGCATGCTGTCCTCAATATCTCTCTTAGCGCTGCTCTGTGTTTGGGAGGAGATACAAACTAATTAGTGCAGACCAGGGGCACAGCCAAGGGGGTAATCCAACGACCGGAAGTTAAAACCTCTCGGGAGCTGCCATCTTGTAGCAGAACATCACTTGCGTTAGCATTCCCATTGACTCCCATTCATTTTTGCATCACTTTGAAGACCCCATTTGTCCTTTATTTATTTCTAAAGAAACACGACAATGTGTAAAATGCTCCATTACCTTGTAGCTTATGTCATGGCCCCATAGAAGCAGTTTTAGTGAAAGTAGGCTAACGATTGCGTCATACCCACGCGACTCTCTGTCACACAGTAGAGAGATTACCGTATGGACAGGAGGAGAAACGTGGAGGCAAAATGACAAAATATTTAATCAGAATACCTAGCAGAATTGTCTCCTTCTCCTAGCTCATGGACAGCTCCTATTCACACTCTCCGCCTCTGCATGTTTCGGAAGGGAATGATTCAGATTTCTCATACCACAGCACTAGAAGACAGACGGGTTGCTTTCGTCACATTACATAGTCAAGGTCTGTTTGAGTCTGCGCGTCAGGGACGGAAGTGCTAAAAAATCGCCCAAAAGGGGCTTCAATCGTCTCAATGGAGTTCCAATGTGATCGCTCTGTCCATTTCTTTTACTGTCTATGGGCGCAGCCAGAATTTTATTTTTGGGTTTCCCATCTTTAAATTTAGGGGCAGCATATTTACTTCACTGTTTCAGCTAACAGCCTACAACATAGCTTTTACATGTGTCTACTAGGCCGATTATAGAAAGTGTCAATGATGTCATCATACTCAGTCCAGGGAATCAACCAATTCACATTCGAAAAACACCAGGAAAAGATTTAAAAGCAAATATATACAGCATCAAATTACAGCATTTTTACTTCACTGTTTCAGTGTACCATTTTGGGGAAAAGCAACGATTATTTCCGGCAAACTTAGAGTAATGAAATGTGGTCATCACATCACTTGTGCCAATCTGTGTCGTGGAAATCTCACTCATGGGCATCAATGTGCTGGGGAAAGAGACGTATTCAGAAGTGCATTTTCGGAAGTGCTGGGTACAATGATGCATACACATTTGTTTCTCTTAACGGTTTAATGTACGATCAGTGATTACCAAATTTCTGGATAGATTTTTTATTTTTATTTTAAAATTTTGGAGTTTAAGGTTACTAGGTAATTATTAGGTAACAGGTTATTAGGTAACGGGTGTAAAATATATATAGGCTAACCTAGTGCAAGAGTGCAAGAGATTTATAGGAACCAAAGTTGTGGACACTGAATCACTTAATTGCCTGTTGAGGTAAATGCAATGCTATTGACAAGCTATGCTGTTTTATTGACGTCTTTCTGCTGCTGAAACACTGATTGAGCGATTACACGAGTTATGATGCATTTCAGTAAGTATACTGTATCTTTCAACATACCTTCAGGTGTCCTTTCTGTAACTGAGGATTGGGAAGAGATGATTGCGTTTACTACTCGCGCGCCGCGCTGCCGCTTGAGATGACGAGCCTTGTAAGCCTATTCAGCGAACTGTCACGCCACATCAAAGAGCGCCAAAACGCCATTTATTGTTTGAATTTTGTGATCAAATAGACAGAATTTGAAATATTATACCTTGCTTATAATCGCAAGTAACAAAACACGGAGCTTGTTATTTGGTGTTAAAGCCACAATATGTATTTTTTCTGCTTTAAAAATAGCAAAAATAAATGTATCTATGTTATATATTTCAATTAAATGTGTACTTACATTATCCCGACAGTTTCCACCAACATTAAAATACGGAGAAATTTATAGTTTAATTCGAAGACACGGGACGTTTCTTTATTTCCGTTTCGTCGCCCGTCTATGGCGTCATATAAACTTTGACACCTCTATTTTCTCTAACTTCCTGCAGAACCCGGCGAAACCCGCCAAACACAAAGGGGAACACTGGACTACCACCAATAAAGCAAAGAAAATAACGAAGAAAAAAAAGTTGTACGTATTTTTATGTGTAAATCACGTGCCCGCTCACGAGCGCTCACTCTTAACAGACACACTGTCCTCGGTGCTGCTCGCGCGTCACAGAATGTTCATAAAGCGCTCCCCGTTCACAGTAACCGGGTTGTCTCATTCAAATCAGCCAGCTGTTGCTGTCAGCGAGCAGCGCACATTGAATACTCATATGAGTCAGGCTGCAAATGAAAGTTACGTGCCCGCTCCAGCGCGCTCATGCTTACTGAATAAACGCCTCATCTCCGGCGCCGCGCACTCGCTACATTCCCTTTAGCCTTAGCACATAGTGGATGCATAACGCAAACCCAGTCAAACGTTTGACTGCAGTATCTTATGCGCTTTATAATCCGGTGCACCCCATATATGAAAAATGTTCTAAATAGGTCATTCATTGACGGGGCGTAATATAAATATGTATATTCGTCTGTATTATAGTTATGGACCACGATTACGCTTTGCCTGCACGTTCTGCTGCTACAGGCAGCTCAGTAAAGCTCAAACGTACGGGTGAAAAATATGATCCGAGAAGGGTTTGGGACAGGAGAAGCATGACACAGGTAAACATTGGGGTTGCATTTAAAGCTTTTTGACAAGCTAAATCTACAGAGAGATGCCGTATATCCGTATATTTTGTGAAACGATGCTGTCATGTCATGAGCTGAGCTGGTCGTCATTGACAGCGACAACAACTCCCGTGAGCCCACGCTCTTTCCCGACGTCAAAGTACGTCTTTTGCTATTATTTTAAATGAGTGACCCCTGGTGGCCAAAAATTGCATACTGTACGTTTAATGGTGGTTAGGCTACAAAACTGAATTCGTTGTGTACTGTACACAACCAGTACATTGAGCCGGGCTGGGCGAGGCGTGTTCCGGATGCAATGAGAGAATCGCGATTCGATTCGTGAGTTCTGTATCACGTTTTTCTGGTTCGGTTCATCGTTACACCCGATCAGGCATGAGGGAATTACAAACCTGTGCACATATATTCAAACGCACATAACTACAGAATCAATTATTGCGAATGTGAACGCCAGCGTTTATCACAGGTTCACGTTTAAAGTCTGTTTAGAGATATACATTTTTACCTTACAGTTATTATAAATCTGTCCTCTAGTTCATAAACTCTAGAGGAGAACTCGCCCTCGACTGAGCCTGGATTCTCCCAGGTATTTTTTTTTTTTTTTAATTGGATCACCTGATGGAGTTTCGGACACCATTAGGTCACTTGATGGAGTTTTTCAGTTCCTTGCCACTGTTGCCTTTGGCTTGCTCATTTGGGTATATTCAAATTAATTAACCAATCAGTAATACCCTTGATCAGCTCTACCAAATGTGGATGTTTTTCCAGAAACATTGTTATTATGTTTTGAATTATACTTTTAAGCTGCTTTGATGCAATCTATATTATGTAAATATACTTGATTTGACTTATATTTCATGGTAATTGTTCAGTTGCATGTCATTCCTCATTGTTACTGTAAATATAGAAATTAGGTACGAATGGCTACATCTTTTTTGCAACAAGGAGGAATATTTTCTTTGTACACTTCAGAATCTCATCTGGGTACTTTTTGCATACTTTTTTATGAGCACTGTGAATTTGCTCATACTACTCTTGTTGCTTATTGTTTTCACCAACTATATAGTAGGGAAATATACGATTTTGGATGCAGCCAATGTTCTTTGCTGGTAACTTGTCGATTTAAGCATCAACCTCTAGTTGCAAAAGTTACAAAGTGTACCTTAAGTCAAACCAGGATCTCTGTGGATTAGTATTGAAGATGAGAAAGGCTATAGTATCTGCTCATGTTAACTAATCTGAAATAGATACATAAACACTTAAACTTACTTTGTTCAACTCTATGGAGTGTTTGATATCATCAACTTTCTTCAATCGGTCCTGAATCATCTGCTGAACTTCAGTTTCAGTTTTCCTCAACACGGCCTGTCGACCACAATAAATTGTGTTAAACTTTTTAAACGTGCTCTGGCATAGCTCTTTTTAGTGATGCAGTCTATCTGTATCCTAGTAAATCCTTGAAAAGCACAATTACAAAGTGAAGCATCCTTGGTTCCTTAGATATTTTTCCAATTCATTTTGGACTATTAAGCCATTCATTTCCATAAAATACTTTTTCCTGTGTTTACTTTTTAGGAAATATTACTGCTTACACCAGCTGTGACTATTTGGGAAACCAGAATAGGGCAGGCAACTGTACTGCAGTGTTTATCTCCAACCCTGTAGCTTTCTTAGTCCAGAAGACACTGGTTACCTTGTTCAGGTGTTTGATTAGGGCTGGAGATAAACTCTGCAGGATAGTGGCGCACCAGGACTGAAGTCGGCCATCCATTATTTACATGATCTGATTACTTTATTCAGCCAGTAACAAGTAATGAGTAAAGTAATGTTTACTTTTTCAGTAAACTTCAAATTTAGTAAACTTCAAATTTAATTATATATCTATTTTCTGACAATTTATTTTTTACTTGACTATACTGCTTTTTACCCCATGTTGAGAGAAATCTGGGTAGAGGTGTGCCAGCACTGGAATAATTGTAGCATGTATGAGCATGATGGGTATCACAGTGTTTGTCATATTTATCAGTGACATTCAGAGCTTGTAGCTTCCGTTCCAGGTCATTGCAATATTTTTAGTAAATTGAAGCGTTACACTGTCATCCAGTTGTTCATTATTTATAGAGGACAAAACAATAGAATGAGCTTTTTTTACCAATGAGAAGTGGCACTTTTACCTTTTTCTCTGTCCACTCTCGTTCGACAGGAACTGTGTAATGTGCCCTGTGGTCCATCTCAGTGCATAGCACACACACAATGGTCTGATCCTTCTTACAGAACAGCTCCAGCAACCTCTCGTGCTTCTTACACATACGGTCCTCAAGGTTCTGCACAGGTTCGATCAGCTTGTGTTTGGTGAAGCGGGCAGTGTGCGTCTTCAGATGCTCCTCACAGTAAGACGTTAAACAAACCAGGCAGGACTTCACCGCCCGACGCTGAGTCCCAGTGCACACGTCGCAGGACACCGTCTGGGCCCACGGCCCATTAGGAGGAATCAGTTCAGGCATTTCTGTCGGGAGCTCCTCATGGGTCCTGAGTCCTGGGTCCAGCTGCATTGTCATCTGAAAGTTTGCGACGGGATTGGATTTCATTGCCTTAAATTTCTCAGCGATTTCCCTCAGCACTGTGTTGATGCTGATGTCAGGCTGCTTGAAGAATGTCTTTTTGCACATCGGACACATAAAGAGGGCACTGGACTTCCAGTAGCTGCCGATGCAGGCCATGCAGAAGTTGTGTCCACAAGGGATGGAGACAGGGTTTGTAAACACATCCAGACAGATGGAACAGTGCACCTGCTCCTCGGCTAACATGCTGGTTGGAGATGCCATTCCTATAGAGACAGAGAGAAGCATGTGCCCTCAAAAAAGCTGTAGTCTTCCAACTTCGATTAAAAGAAACTTTAAAATGTATAGAAAGACAACTTAGAGACAACTTAATATTGTTCAATATTGCTTTCCCTGATACAATATGCTTTTTGAAGTTTATTTTCCATCACTGTCGGGTAGAGTTCTCAACGGGTCGGGTCGGCCCGACAAACCCGACGGGACCCACAGGTTCAGCAAATGACTCGGATCAGGGCTTAATCTTTTCCGCCCAGTAAAATAAATAAATAAATAAATAAAAAATAAAAATATTATTCATCGCTGCTGTTCACCGTAAAGAAAGTCTGGCTGCTGCGCGCAAAGTGCATCGCGGGTGGCTGGCTGAGAGGAGAACACGCCTCAGTTCATCCACGGATGCACTGATCTTCCTCCACGATGCCTATATAAGCATATGATTATGTTTGTAGGCGAGGCCTATTTTGTTTCAAAACTCGTAGCCCGCCCGCTGGTTGGCTGTTTGAGTTCTTTTTATTTATTATTGTGTGAAGATTTTTATTTAAACAGGCATGGCGTTAGCTACTTTCCTTTGAAAATTGTTGTCAACACCGCACTTGCGCGCATTTCAGACGTGATACTAGACGATGGAAAAAGCAAAGAAAACGCGGTCGGAAGATTAGGAAAAGAGAATCTGACCGTGTGAGAAACCTGACAAGAGTCCCACTCGGTCGGGCTTTTCACTCCTTGGCGCGAGCTAAAAAGCAGCTCTGGATGCGACGGTGATGCTGATATGGCGATCTTGTTGATGGACTAGTAAGTCAATCTTTCTAAGTTTGTGAGCATTTTATTTTGTGATTTCACCGGAATGAATAGACGCCGCAACGGCAATAGATTGTACAGCGCGTCCGAGTCGGGCCGCGGGCCGGGCAGATAATTCATGTTGATGTGTCGGGTTACATCGGGTCCGGGCTTTAAAAGCCACGGGCTGAGTCGGGTCCGGTAATAATTTTCAGGCCCGTTGAGAACTCTAGCCTACTGTCAGGCTGAAACCTTATGTCCAAACTTGTGAAGGGGGGAAAATTATATCAAAATAATTAAACACTGTGTTATTGGTGTTGTGGCTTTTTAAATGATCAGGCACTTGCACATGTCGTTATATTATAACATTTTACCAGGATCAAGCTCAAATGGAGTTAAGAGTTTTTTTGACCAGCGATATTAGAGATAGTTTTGTCCGTCATTAGATCGCGGCCGCATCTGAGAAAGTCTATTGTATTGTTTTCATCATCTTATGCCGAGTTCAGACTGCATGATTTTAGCCACGATTTTGGCTCGCCGACAGGTTTTGAGAAATCGCCGACAAATGCCCGAAATCACAGGCAAATTGGCGCTCGTTCACGCGAGTGACAATCACGCAGTGTGAATGAACAAAGACGCGAACTGAGAGAATCACCGACGAGTCGCCGACGCCCGTGAGATATTTGGCATGCTAAATATCTGGACCTGTCGGCGATTCAAAATCCTGCTGTGTGAAAAGTTTTGACTGAAAACTACATCGGCGATCACCGGCAGCCAGTGAGAGAGCAAGATACAGAGCAGCAGGGAGTTCGGGGAGGAGTTATAGATCACATATCAACATGATATGGCATTGTTTCAACAAAAAAAGCTTCTTCTCGGTCTATTTGGACACAATAAATGGAAGAAAAATTAGTAGAAATTTGGCAGGAGCACTCGTGTCTGTTTCACCAGCTGTACCACAACCGGGTCGAAAAAAAAAGTCTCACGTGAGAACTCCGGTCTTGCACGTGTGGTGTCGCGCGTTGTTTCCTTTTCATATCTCACGCGTGTTTGTTGTGAAATGTAGTTTGCGTGCAGCGTGCTAGACAGAGTCTGTCGGCGATTTTTCTAAAGTCATGCAGTGTGAAACCTTCTGTCGCCGATCCATCGTCCAGTGTGAACACAGCAGCGACTGAATGCTGGCCAAGATAGTCATGCAGTGTGAAAAGAGCAGCGACCTGACTACTTTGAAAATCGTGCAGTCTGAAAGAGCCATTACAGGTTACAAAGTTTATAGCATCTTAGAATATTAAAGTCAACATGAAATACCATTCACGGCCTATTTTACTTCTATAATATAATGTGTTTTATGTGCAAAACATTCTTCAGCAGAATGGATCAGGACCTAAATGCAAATGGCATGCTAAATGTCGAGCTAATTTTAACATACTTCAAAGGAAAACAATCATTTTCATTACTGTTTCATTATTTGCTAATATTTTAGAAAGGTTGCATTACATAGGCTATACCCTAAAAATTACCTATGCCTATTAAATCAGAGGAAAGTCGTTTCAGAGCATTACAATAACATTTCCATGGAATAGCGTTGATGATGAATGGTGCACGTTAAGACCAGGAATATGTATTATTAAAGGGTCACTTCACTTATAATGGACTTCAATGGGAACCGGATGGTTCAAGTATCAAAAGACGGTTAATAACTGTTTCAGATGCAGCTTCAAATATCTTTAAACGATATCAGACGATGAATAAGGGTCTTATCATGCGAAACGATCGGTTATTTCAAAGCTTATTCCAAAAATGTAACTTTTCTAAGGACAAATGCTAGCCTAGCTCTATTCTGTGAGACGCGTTTGCAACGTCACGTAATACGTAATTACGTTCAAAAGGTCACGGGCGACTTAGCCGGAAGTACAGAATCAAAATCGTCCGACATCGTTGTTTTACCTTTTAATTCCTTTTTTGTAAACGCCGTTTGAGTTAGTTTTCACGTTCAACCTATGCGTTCAACTTGTAAACACTCTGACTCTGTACTTCTGGCTACGTCGCCTGTGACCTTTTGAACGTAATTACGTACTACGTGACGTTGCAAACGCGACAAAGGCTAGCATTTGAATTTGTCCTTAGAAAAGTTACATTTTTGGAATAAGCATTGAAATAACCGATCGGTTCGCATGATAATACCCTTATTCATCGTCTGGTGTCGTTTAAAGACATTTGAAGCTGCATCTGAAACTGTTATTAACACTATCTTTTGGACCTGAACCATCCGGTTCCCATTGAAGTCCATTATATGGAGAAAAATCCTGTAATGTTTTCATCAAAAACCTAAATTTCTTTTCGACTGAGGAAAGAAAGACATGGACATCTTGGATGACATGGGGGTGAGTATCAGCAAAAATTTTTTCAAAAGTGAACTAATCCTTTAAGCTTTGTATCTTTAGAAACCCAGTCATATTTTTGAATGGTCATGGTTTATTCCATTATTTTCCCCCGAGATGGGAGAAATAAGGATTTAAGTGTTCTATTTCCTGCTTATCGTGACGTAAAAATCGTCAAAAATGTCAACAGACTACAATGATTAGCTCATTATTATTCAAGGGTGTGGCACCCACTCACCCACAGGCCTATTACAGATCAGTGGGTAGGACTTCACTTGCAGAGACTGAAATCAATATCCGCCATCTTGTTAGGAAGCTAAGCTAACAAGCCCTGTGGAGATATGAAGTTATGATAATGATGGAAGAAACTAAACATGATATGGAAGAAGAGGGTTTTGAAAGTCTGCTGCTCGAATCCGATGTTCGTGGCTATCTTTACGAGCTGCAGTATAGTTTAGAGCAGCTGAGGCTGTCGAAGGAGCAGGAGACGCCTGGCTGTCGGTCGAGACGCCCGGACTGGGTTGAGCTCGGCGGCCTGCTGTTGCCTGTACTCTCGCTGCGTGTCATGGCCTACGGACACAGAGTCCGTCTGCTGCAGAGAATTTCAACGATGGCAATTTCTTCTGGAGGAAATCTCTGAATCAGACGAGCACACGGACGTTTGTGTTTTGATAGTTTCGCCTTCAGAACATACAGGTATCATGCAGTAATTCACCATACAGAGATAAATACAAACGCGGAGTAATTCACTATGTGTTTACAAATGTAACATTTAAACATTTTAATAGTAAAATGAACAAATACAAAACGAAAGTAAGCCAGCGTTACACACAACAGAAACAAATAAACATAAAATCGGTCCTGTTTCTCTCTCGATCTGCCGTCGTCGCTCCCCAGTTTATGCATTCGCTCCTTCGTGAGAGACGCACCGGCGCGCGCCTCACAGGTGTTTTTCATTATCACTCACGCCACCGGCCTCTTACATCCCTCGCCCTCGATCGTCCTGCTCGCCACAGCCAACTAACTAGACATTTTGTTTGAAATGAATTTCAAACTCTTACTCTGGTGACAGCTAATGTTAGCGTTGTAGACGGAAGTTTGCGCTGTTCCGGTGGATGGGTGGGTTAGTGGGTGTGGCTTGCGGAGCTGTGCAATGCAGTGGCATTCTGGGAACTGTAGTTTTTTAACACAAATGCGCCCCTTGGTTATTTTTCTCGGTCAAGAGGGCACCAAATTAAAAAAAATATTTTACATTTTGACTACATATATGATCCGCTTTCAATAAAGATTTATGTTGCAATGGGTGAAATGCTCCTTTTAGAAACTCAAAAAATAATCAATATGAACTCGCATTGACTTTAAACTGTTTAAATGTCATCCTATAAAACTAGAACAAAATTATCACACACAGATAAATTACCAGTCTTTTTTTAACTGACTTGGTGGCATTATTGACAGCTATGCAGTGTGCTAAATATACAGAGTCATTTGGATTTGATTAGCAATCCGTCTGTTGGCTTGTGCTCTTAGCAACATGCAGTGGTCTTTGACACAGAAAGACTTCAGGAATTTGTAAAGCCTGGCTATTCATAGAAGATTATCATCACTCCAAAAATACTAGGCTTCCCAGACTCTTGCTTCTGGTCCTATCTCATAAACAACACCTGCATGCGATTTTTGGATCTACATCACCATTTTGTCTTCAGTTTTTAATAGCTGTTTTTTAAACACATTTTTGCAGATAAATTATTATTCATTATTAGTAGTTGGACATGTTCCAAGTTGATTTCAGCATTTTATTAGCAAATGTGTCCTTTTCTATACATCTTGGCTATGCATTTGATGAAATGACATGCAGAACATGCAGTTTCCTCAATCATCTTCATTCATCCAAGTGTTTTGAAAGGAGACTCACCGGCTGTCTGTTGCAGCTGAATGCCACTGACCACAATGACCGTCCTGGACTGGACAGCAGTGACATGTGGCACAGCTGACAGCCTCCGTTACCCTGAAATATCCCCCCTTACCCCTCCCCCTTAGCCCAGTTTCACTTTTACACCTTAGACTACATGGGATCTCAGGAAATATTAACCATTCACTGTCTGTAGAGTTGTTTGTCTTGTATAGCAATTAGGGTATCCCCCAACCATTCAGTGATGTTTCTTTTTTTCTTTTTCTTTTTTAAATGTCCCATAACATTTAAACGCATTAAGCCCATTTTTTATTCAACCACCTAGTTAGATTACATTTGATGGAATAACAAAAGATGTGTTATTCAGACCATGGCAACTACACTAAAGTGGCAAGCGATTCCTCCTGGAGGCGTTTTACCCCACAGACTAGGTTTGAAAAAATCTGTCACTCTAAAAATATAATTATACTTTCCTTAAATAACATGTACTCCATTACTACAGGCCTTTTCATATCATATATAACTGTGATGTTTTGAAAAACAACAAGCTTTAAAAAGGTTTTCTGAGGTACATGATCACCATTGTAAGCGTCATAGTGGATACTTTTACATCACCACTCTGATTCACATAGAGAATGTATAACTATTATCTACTAATTAAAGACGAAGCAAATTAATGTTATTTATTAATTTTATTCAAAAGTTCTGGAAAACTCATAGAAAACCTTTATCCAAACATTATTACACCCAAAGATTTACACAGGAAAATACAAATGATCTGATCTGTAAAGTTGATATATTCTTCATTTAGCTTATGTAAATTGTAATATTATCCATCTGTTTTAAAGTAAAACAAATCTAGATGTTTAAACATTTGGGATATAATCTGGACTGTAGCAAGTTATTACAATTAATATCTATTCATAATAAGTGGAATGGTCACATACTGTAGCCATACCAAACATGAATCAAAGATCACTACCGTTCAAAAGTTTAGGGTGAGTGAGATTGTTTTTTTTAATGTTTTGAAGTGTCTAATGCTCAGCTGCATTGATTTGATGAAAAATACAGTGAAATCTTTAATATTGTGAAATAAACCATTTTTTTATTTTAATAGTGTGATTTATTCCTGCGAAGTCAAAACCATTACTCCAGTCTCCAGTGTCACATGATTCTTCAGATATAATTCCAATATGCTGAATTGTTGCTCAAGAAACATGTCTTATCAATGTTGAAACTTATTTCAGGATTCAAAATAACAGCATTTATTTGAAATACAAATATTTTGTAACAAAGTATTTCTACTTTATCTTTTGGTTTAATTGAATGTGTCCTTGAGGAATAAGATTTATTTATTTATTTATTTTTATTATTTTTTTACTGACCTGAAACTTTTGAATGGTAGTATATTGTTTTTTTGTAACTATCTTCATCTTTGAAAGTAACTTACAGTCTTTTTACACAAAATGCATGTGTTCTAAGATCACACTCCTCTGCATACATTTACAGAGTGAACTCTTATAAACAAAACAAAAAAGAGTATTATTTTTCCAGGAAAGTCTTCATTTTTTGTGAAAATCAGCAAAGTATTCTGTCCAACCCTGAAACCGTAAGAAAGGCCCTGAAGTGAGTATGCTGTCTCAGCTGTGTTTGACGGTGGAGATGACCAGTGCTTCTTGGTTCTTTCCATCTTGGTTTATGCAAGGGCTGAAGATAGGGTAGACACTCTCAGTGAAAGCATCGCTAAACGTGTAGAGATGAGAGCGCATCTTCACGTCATAGAAGGACACCTGGCCAGCTTCATAGTCCAGAAAAATGCCCAACTTCTGAGGCAGAGTGGTGATATGAAGAGGAACTCTGTGCCCAGCAAGGGCTTTCACTTCTCCGTTTTTCAGCCATAAACACCAGAAGCCGCCCTCTGGACTGAGGCGGATCTCTCCTTTGCGTCGTGCCGTCCCTCGGGCCACTCCTACGGTCCAGGCTGTCTTGTGTCCGATGTCTACCTCCCAGTAGTGTCTTCCAGTGGAAAGACCCTCGCGTGCCAGCACAAACAGTGCTGGGCTGAAGCGGCGCGGTGTGTCGGAATATGTGGAGCTCTTGCGCTGCTCTTCATAGTGCACCTGCCTTCCGTCCTCAGAAAGACAAAGGTCACGCTGAGCTGTGGCAGGATCCAAGATCACCTCACCTACAGAGAAAACCAAAATCATGTGTGTTGAACACAAAAATAGACACACAGAAGTGTTTCAGTTGATTTGATAAAATACTGTATACAAATACATGAATGAAGCAGTCAATGGAATCCACTGCAGTGTAAAATGAAGGGCGTCTCAACAGCTACAAAAGCTGCATCCTTGATATCAAGAACATATTTGAACACTTTCCTGAATGGAATTTAACTTCTATGGTTGATGATGTTTGGTTCTTTTCAATGGTAAATTTCCAATTATACATTTGTGAAACGTTTGGTGCAAAATTAAAATCAGAATTTAATTAAATAATTTACATTTGCCATTTCACACACTAGTTTTAATATGTAAATTGAATCCATATATTAACCCTTTATTAGTTGCAAAATTAAAATGAAAATGTATTACAGAAATTATTAATTCGTTTAACATGTTAACAAGCAAAAACTATAGCAAAATTATAATTTAATGTTATTTTTCTTAATTTCATTTACACTCACAGTTACAGTAAGACACTTGCAGTTGCATTTCCATTAAGTGTCCAAAATGAATGTAGCAAAAATCAATAAGAAATTTGAAAATACATTCTAAGCCGATTAGGTGCCCGTCCCGTCCCCCTATCACTCACATGATTAAAGTTGAAAAAGTGAATTAACTAGATATGAGGGCATGACTTGTCTTGTTAGCTGGGTATAATGGGAACCAATATTTTTAGAGTTTTTAAGTCATGATGACCTGTGAAATCTGTTATTTTGTAAAGAAGATGTGAGCTCTGCTTGTTAATTAATGGTTCATATTGTGCTGGTATGGGTTTGCTTAGTATTTTTGGGTGGTTTCTGGACAAAAACCTTTGATATTCTGATTTGAAGATATTGCTCGACTGCATATTTGTCAAAACACCACTGAAAAAAAATGTATCTTCAAAACTAATGCTTATATAAATAGCACTTACTTGCATAGTTTTGCAGCTTTCTGAGCTCTGCAAGGGAAATAAACAATGCATGATTACTGAGATCATGTAAATTAGTTGATAAATGTTTAAAGTACAGTGCATGGAAGAACTAGACATGGTTCTTCACCTTTCCCATAAAGCTGTTTGACCTCTTGCTGGAATTTGTCAACCAGAGAGCAGACTGACTTCCTGATGGTACTGAGGTACAGATCTGTGTTTACAGACACCATCGACCAATCAGATGGCTCCGGTGGAGGAGGGAGAGATGGGAGGAACTATGAGGGATGAAATATTAGGTGAAATATTAGAGAATACAGCTCAAATGCACACACTTGTTTGTGTCATGCTAGGGACTTTCCATTGACCTTATCCTCATGCTATTTTTAATATTACGACCAATCAAACATTTTGGGTCAGGAAGCTTGTATAATGTTTTAAAAAAATGATTTTCTTTCAAAGAAAAAAAATCAAATACTGACCTGTAGAAAGAGAACACTGTCCTGTGTTTGAGCCAGTGCATCCAGCTCACTGCTCCTCTTCCTTAGTGTGCTGAGCTCATGTTCCAGGCCACTGGCGAGATCTCTGGACTGCTGCTCCACTTGTTTCTGCCGTGCCGTGATGAGCTCCAGCAGCTCAACTTGCGACTGCTCTAACAGCCGCTGCAGCTCTGCGTAAACAGTCCAGCTCTCCTCTATCTCCTTCTGACTGTTCTCCTGAATGCAGACAGGATGCCATGCTTTATGAATTATCATACCACAATTTATTCTGATTGCATCTGACTGACAAGCTACCGCTCTCAAATAATCTACCAATTGTTTAATAATCAAACTCTCTTTTACAATTAAACGTTCCTGGTGAAGACGTGTTGCGTGAGCATTGACCTCAGTGATGCTGAAGACAAATTAAAGTATGTGGGACTGAGAATGAGATTAGAGAGCTACAGCAAATGTTCAGTAAATAGCACCATACATTTTGCCACTGTCTAGCCTGAGTGATAAAAAAAGCATGTTTGCCACCCCCTGGCAGTACAAAGCCTCTCCATCACCAAGATTGCTTTTGTGCCTGGAAACTGGACATCCTGCTGCTCCAGCCTAAATAACAGTGGATCTCGAAGTTGCTGAATCCAGGTCTATTTGAGGGTTAAAGTTTTGGCTTTGGTGTGAATAATAGGCCATTGCTCAAAGATTGAAACTCTGGGTAATGCTTTAGTATTGGGAACACAAATTCACTATTAACTATGGCTTTTGCCTCAATAAACCACAGTTAATAGTAGTAAGGTCGTTTTTGTAGGCTTAAATTTAGGTATTGAGTTGGATTAAAGGGATAGTTCACTTTGAAATTAATTTTTGATATGTTTTAGCTTACCTCAAGGGCATCCAAGATGTAGGTGTCTTTGTTTCCACAGTATTTTCAATTTTGACATTTTTCAGTCAAACCGTTGTCGTCTATCAGTCATACACTGGAGGCTAAGGGGGTCCACCAAAAAGCATGCACAGAGAAGTTCAAATTAAACATGATTTAATGACTCGTAAATGTAAGTACACATTGATGGCCTAAGACACGAAACGAGCGTTTTTTGTGAGAAAACGAACAGTATTTATATAGTTTTTACCTCGTGTAATCACAGTGACGTCCAAGTGATCTGAATCAGTTGTGCAATGTCCAACTGAACCGAACTGAATCAGTTCAATGTTACGGCGGAAGTAATCGCTTGCGTGTGACGTCACTCAATATTTACACAGAGATTTCGGAAGTTTTACCTTTTACTAAACATATTTAGATACTCTTCCGGCGCATGCTCAGACCGAAGTGCCCGTGCCGTCAGATCATTTTGTCATGGCTATGAATACAAGAGGTAAAAACGATATAAATACTGTTCGTTTTCTCACACAAACCGCGCGTTTCGTGTCTTAGGCCATCAATGTGTACTTACATTTATGAGTCATTAAATCATGTTTAATTTTGACATCTCTGTGCATGCTTTTTGGTGGACCCCCTTAGCCTCCAGTGTATGACTGATAGACAACAACGGTTTGACTGAAAAATGTCAAAATTGAAAATACTGTGGAAACAAAGACACCTACATCTTGGATGCCCTTGAGGTAAGCTAAAACATATCAAAAATTAATTTCAAAGTGAACTATCCCTTTAAGGGATGTAGAAGATGGTCATATAGAATACGGCGTTAGTATGTGCTTTATAAGTACCAATAAACAGGCAAAATCCAAGTAATATGCATGCTAATAAGCAAAGTTAATAGCGTGAATTGAACCCTAAAATAAAGTGTTACCAAATTTTCTAGCAATGCATCTGTAATTTTCTTGAACCAAAACTCAACCCTAACTCACATGGTACAGGTGATATTTGCAGGGTCATCCATTCAGAAACGCACACAGGATGGGGAATTCTTTTGAGACCAGTATGAGGCAGAATTTTCCATTTTATTGTTGTGGAAATGCACAGAATATTACCTGGACATTGCCCAGAGAGGAGCCCTGACGCAAACACATGCAGTATAGATTACATGTTAACAGCAGCATGAAGCATTTCACTGTGTTTTAACAGGGCAGACCGGTTGAACCGGTAATACTTATACTGAAGAACTGTGTTGTTTCACCATCAGTTTAGCTCATCTGCCATCATATAATACCTATCACCTACTATCTGCTCAGACATCTTTACCTCTGTATGAAGTAATTACTGTAATGATTAAGGTTCTAATAAGTCTAATCTGAGTTATTTCTGCCTGCAGATCTTTGTATTGTCTCTCTCCCCCTACTCTCTAACCACTATGTAATTGGACCCAATTGTATTTTTAAATGTGACTCGTGGTGGCCCTGTGCTCTATTTACAGTTATTGAACAAGCAAAACAGTGACATGCTGATATACTGTAAATACAGTTCCAGGACAGAGACCAGATAGTTTATTTAATTTTATCCTGAAGTGCTTGTGCTGTTCTGCATTTGCTGGAAAGTTGTCTCGTATCATAATGTGGGTTTTGTGTCTTGTCTGTCATGTTCAGTGGTTCCGTGTTTCTCATTTCCCACACCCCCTTGTTATTCTTTTGGCTCGTTTGTACTTAATTATTTAAGCCCTGTGTTTCTGCTCTAAGTTTGTGAGTTGTTGAATGTTTGATGTCAAAGTTGATCGTTCATGATTCTGAGTCTTTGTCTAAGTTTGTCTAAATAAAGCCTGCACACTGCGTTTGGATCCAGCCTCCTTCCCGTGCTTCTACCGCACTACATTACCTATGTTACATCTCGGTTAAAGTAGGTTACTACTGTTTGTGTTGTTTAGCATTTGCAGGAAAGTTGTCTCCAGAGGGGTGTGACAGCATGGGCAAATATTTGCAGTGTTCTTACTGGTTTTGTCAGATTAACCAAACAGATATTCTCAACAAAATAAGCTGAAGCAGTTACCAGCATGTGTGTGTAGTGGGAATTTTTCAATTGTTTAGTTTACTGGATAAGGATTTTTAAAAAAAAATAATTTTAAAGAAACATAGATTGCAAATAGCGCTTTCTTACCTATGGACTTTAAAGAGCTGTGCATAACTGTGTAAAAAAACAAAAAAAGTCACTACCCAGACAACAAACTGACATTGAATCAACGTGGAAACGACGTCTCTCATGACATTGAAACAACGTTGATTTTGCTCATCGAATTAACGTTGAACCAACGTCAGACGCGGCATTCTTCAAAGCTAAATGACAATCGAAAATTGCTTTGCTTTCATAACGTTGAAACAACGCGTTGATTTCAAGTTGATTTTCCGTTAGTTTTGAAAAAATGACACGTCTGACGTTGGTTCAACGTTAATTCGATGAGCAAAACAATGTCATATCAACGTTGTTTCGATGTCATATTTCCACGTTGATTCAATGTCAGTTTGCTATCTGGGTATTATTTTTCCCTACCTACTACTTTTCCCCCCCAAACCATCCCAGGCCTAGAAATCACAACTTTTACAAAACGGAAAACACAAATTCGTAATTTCCAGGCTTTGCATGACTATAGGAGCCCTGCTAAACTCATTAGCCTGTACCATTACAGGGGATTGACATGAAGGTGTAAAGATTGGTCTGCATATGGAGACGAAAGGTTCAATTTCACTGGCTTGTCATGTTAGTGAAATAATATTGTGGCGAGTAGGGTGAGGCCGAGGGACAGGGACATGAGAGCGGCGCGAGGCCCTTGGCTTGAGTGATTAATGAACGACACCTGTGAGACACAACGGTGTTGTGATTTTATGTTCTGCTTTGTGTGGCAGCAGTCATCCGTGAGGGGCTGCTGGCTTATACTTTCATTTTGTGTTTATTTATTATTAAACTTGTTGAACGTTCGCCAGTTCACCGCCTCCTTCTTCACATAACAACTGAACACTGTTACAAATATAATGATTTGAGGACCAATTTTGTAGTCAAAGTATGGGCAGGCCTTAGTCAATGTAAAGCATATTAAACAAGCACAACTTACAGGTCCCACCCTCTTGCTCTCTCTCTGCTGTACTACAGCCCTCCCTCCACAGGGCCATTGATGGCACATTCTAGTTGAAATGTGCCATCAATGGACGAAACAACATACTTTGACAACAAACTTGGTCCTCAGATAATTACGTATTTTTCAGCTGGTGCTCAAAAAACCATATAGACCCAGAGTCATGTGGAATATCAGTGGTTCCCTCATTCCTACTGGAGCTGTTGGATGCGGGCCGTTCCCCGTCCATGCTCAAAGTGTATGTGGCAGCTATTGCAGCACACCATGGCATGTTTTGGTGGCTGGCGAATCACTAGGAAGTTGACCCCTCCAGACCTCCCTCTGTGCCACCACGGTCCTGGGGGACTTTGAGGGTCCACCATTTGAACCGCTCGAGTCAGTTTATCTTAAACTTATCTCACTGAAGACCGCTTTCCTGTTGGCATTGGCATCTACTGTATCAAGCAAGTGGGGGATCTGCAGGCTCTCTCTGTGAGCCTGGCAGGTCTGGAGTTTGTTCAGGATAACTCAAAGGTCATCCTCAATCCCAGGCATGGGTATTTGTCCAAAGTGCTCCCAACACTGTTCAGAGCACAGGAGGTGACGTTATTGGCTCTTCCCCCCTTCTACAGAGGATAGGGAGGTCAATCTTCTCTGCCCTGTTAGGGCACTGAGAATTTATCTCAGAGAATTTAGCCCATGGAGCGCCCAGACACTCAATGGGCTAGCTGTGCAGCTGCAAATGCGTTTTACATATAGGTTTCAGTAAATCAAGAAAAAGGAGTTTTCCCACTGCTAAGTACGTAACCTCAGGGAACTGAGGTTACCTGAGTAACCAAGTAGTTCTTACTTTGAGTTTTCTGCGTACAGATTGTTAAAACGATCCCCTTTCACATGGATCAGAAACCCTATATTCTGTTGCCAGGCCATTAGACGGTGATGAAACACTGTAGATTTAACTTGTAATACGCATGTGCATGATGTCATCGCCTTCAAAGATTTGCCTCTTTTGTTGTTTACACACAGACCGTTTTCAAAAACGTAAACTTTGAAACTGTCATATACAGCTGAAAAAATAAAAGAAATACGATCAAAGACCATCCTTCGAGAAAAGAAGCACCACAAAGTATAAATATAGACTCACTTTCACGACTTTGATAGACTGCTTGATCTCCTCGAGTTTCTTTTCTCGCTCCTTAATCAGATGTTTTAATTCTGACCTTTTCTTTCCCAGTTGACTCTGTGAATCAAACAAGATCCAGTCACATTTCCAGAATTGTCAAGCTCAGTAATAATACTGCCATTCAATTTGACCCATTTTGAATTTTGAGATGTCTGAAGTACTTTAAAACAAGTGATGTTCACCATGACTATTCCTCATTTGGGTCATGAGCATGCACTGTTTTGCAATGCGCATACATAATTCATAAAGCAACTTACATTACATTAAATGCATTTTTTTTTTCCCAGTTCACACATTCCCCCCTTGGTATGTTTAGTGCTATTCACTACAATTTGAGCTAAGGTTTATGAAAAAAAAAATGTGTATATATAAATATAGCACTAATATCACAAAAAAATCTTAAAGTGTGTTCTTTTTTCAAACATTTCAGCATGCTTTATATTGAGAAAAATAACTGAGAAATTATTGAGAAATGTATTGAGAAACGTGTCCTAGAGACTGTAAAAAAAATAATAATAATAACAGGAAATTTACTGTTTTACCTGATTCTTCAATAGTCTGACTTTTGATGAACTGTACTGAATCCAGTTATGGTCAGAACCATTAAGAGCGTATACGTTTAAAAAACAACATAATACAAGTGTTAACTCACCATTTTTTTCTTCCACTCTCGTTCGGTGGAGACAACATCATGCGCTTTGTGTGAGGACTCTGCGCACTCCTTACACACGCACACATGTTCGTTTCGGCAGTAGGCATCCAGTAGACGTTTGTGTACCTTGCACATCTTGTCCTCCAGGTTGTGAATGGGCTCCACCAGCTTGTGTGAGGTCATCGCCTTTCCCTTCCTATGGTGCCGCAGGTGAGCTTCACAAAATGAACCAGGGCAATTCAGGCATGACTTCTTGGCCTTCATCTTCCTGCCAATGCAGGCATCACAGGGCACCTCTCCCGCTTTAGCAAAATCTCCCCAGTCGTCTTCTTTCTGTAAGCTTGGGGAATGTGTTAAATCAACGTTCCCCTTGTCACTTTTGTTGGAGGACATTGTGGATAGACCCTGGAACTGCTGGGCAATCTCAGCTAGCACACAGTTGATGCTGAGCTCTGGTTTTCTGGAGAAAGCTTTCTTGCACATGGGGCACACAAACTTCTTGCTGTGATTCCAGAAGCCCTGCAGACATGCCTTGCAGAAAGTGTGACCACATGGAGTTGAGACAGGCTCGACGAATACCTCCAGACAGATGGAGCAGGAGAACTGCTCCTCTGACAGGATTTGTCCCGGAGATTGTGGGCCTGCAAAGGTTAGGGTGAAGGAGATGAAATTAGATGGGTGGCAGTAAAAAGTGGAAGAGGAAAGTGCAGGGAGATGGAACATGGAAGGCCATGGTATCAAGACACAATTATGTCTTAATATAGTAGGCATGTTTCGTGTAATAATTTCCCCTGATTGGAATGAATCGATTTTATATTCTGCAGGGTTTTTTTTATGTGAACCCTATGTGAACCCTAAACATTGCAGTCTGATTCATATTAGTTTAACTGTGCATTACATATTCCAAACAAAACCTTACGGTTTTCTCATTCAGAACCGAAGAAAGTGACTTGCAAATATAATTGTTATTTTTGTTGAGATGTCTAAAAAGAAAACATGCACATTACAGCACTGCTCATGCAAGTTTTTATCCAATTGAAAAGATAGTTTACATGCTTTATTATTTTCCTGTTGATCAGAATATTTCAGATCTACACCACCCCTTGCAAATCCTTTCAAATTGAATTCATATCCAACTCAATTAGATCAATGTTTACATGAAGGTTTTGAGTCCAATAAAGCCATAATTCTGATTACTAACGGATTATTTAGATGCATGTTGTAAACGTAGCGTTACTCAATACTTTTTCCATGAATCCCATCACTATGGAAATACATGAAGCCTCAGTCTTTCTGAGCCATTAATCTGATTACTAACATATTTTTTGGGGGTATGTTCCCCAGCCCTGTCAAAGTACATGCTTTCAGTTCATTGTATACATATGCAAATTTAGACACTGCCTTTGATTTTGAAACTTCCAGGTAAACAATATTATTTCAGTCTAATTTCCATTTGCTTTTACAACATCTCTATTAGATTTTCAGCTATGTTTCCATCTGAAGGTGTGAACTGTGAAAGATAAGGGAAATCGTCTCTGGTTACGTATGTAACCTTAGTTCCCTGAAGGGAACGAGACGCTGCGTGTAACCGCTATGGGAACGCCCCTGCGTGAAGAGTCATGAAGCACGTATGGAATCAGTCCAATGGTGAGACGGAACGTCATAGGCGGGGTGACGTATCGACCAGGAAACTATAAAGCACCCTAGAAACACAAGCGCAACAGCTTCTGATAAGACTGAAGCAAGTGCTCACGGGCATGCTGGGAGTATGGCATGGACACGCAGCATCTCGTTCCCTTCAGGGAACTAAGGTTACATACGTAACCAGAGACGTTCCCATTCAGGGAACTTCGAGCTGCGTGTAACCGCTATGGGAACGCTAATACCAACACCGCCATGCGAGCAGGTGTCCGTCGTATGAAATCAGAGCGCACATTCTAACGAAAGAACCTGCGCCCCCGGAGTGGAGCTGAAGTCAAGATGATACAATTTTACAAATGTGTGCGGTGATGACCATCCTGCCGCATCACAGATGTCATTCATAGGAACTCCTGATAACAACGCCTTAGAGGCGGCCATACTCCTAGTTGAGTGAGCCCGGACAGCCAAAGGGGAAGGCTGACCGGCGGACTCATAAGCAAGTGAGATGGCCTCGACCACCCACTTACTCAACCTCTGCTTAAACGCGGGAGAACCTCTCTTAGGAGGCCCAAAACAGACGAATAATTGTTCCGATTTCCTCCACAGGGCAGCTCTGTGGACGTAAGTGTCTAAAGCCCTCACAGGGCAAAGCAGATTTAGCTTCTCCTGGTCTGATGTTAGAAACGGAGGAGGACAGAAGGCCTGTAGCACGATAGGTCTGACAACGCTAGTTGGAACCTTAGGAACGTATCCCGGTCTAGGGAGGATGAAAGCCTTCGCCATACCAGGAGCAAATTCCAAACACGAGGGGGAAACCGACAGCGCCTGAATATCTCCAATTCTCTTTAAAGAAGATATGGCTAGAAGGAAGATAGTCTTAAGAGTGACAAATTTCTCAGGCACCTCTTCAATGGGCTCGAAAGGAGCTAGACAGAGCCCCTCCAACACAACCGCTAGGTCCCACCCTCGTTTGCACTACTGGCCTCAGCCTCAGGATACCACGAAGGAAACGAGTTACAAGAGGATGTCTCCCGAGAGAAGCTCCACTCAAAGGGACATGGTAGGCAGATAAGGCCGCCACATACACCTTCAGTGTGGAGTGGGATAACCCCGTGGAGAAACGCTCCTGAAGGAACTCCAGCACTGCCGACAATGGGCAGTTAACTGGGTCCAACTCGCGTTCTCCATACCAAGAGGTGAACATTCTCCACCTCAAGGCATATAATTTCCTCGTGGACTGGGCTCTGGACTGGAGTATGGTCTCCACGACCTCAGTCGAAAGACCTGATTCTACGAGCTGGGCCCCCTCAGAGGCCAAGCCCACAGCCTCCACAGCTCTGGGCGGGGATGAAATACCGCCCCGCCTGCTTGAGACAGAAGGTCCCTCCTGACTGGAATCTCAAGAGGAGGACCCTCGAGAAGAGAAATCAGGTCCGCAAACCATACTCGGGTCGGCCAATACGGGACTACCAGCAGTACACTGACCCCTTCCCGGCGAAACCTTTCCAGAACCCCTGGGAGCAGAGCAATCGGGGGAAATGCATACAGGGTGACCTCGGCCACTCCTGTACCATCGCATCCAGCCCCAATGGAGCTGGTGGGCTCAGGGAAAACCACGGCGGGCAGTGTGAAGTTTCCCTGGATGCAAAAAGGTCCACTTCGCCACGACCGAAATGCCTCCAAAGGAGCTCCACCACCTCGGGGTGAAGTCTTCGCTCCCCGGGCCTCGGCCCCTGCCTTGACAGGATGTCTGCCCCCTGATTTAAGTATCCCGAGATATAAATCGCCCTCAATGACAGAAGTCTCCCCTGGGACCACAAAAGGATCTGGCGCGCCAGCTTGTATAATGGACGTGAGGGCAGACTTGTCTGACCGGACAAGAACATGGTCACCTCTGAGGTCTGGGAGAAAATGTTTCAGAGCCTGAAACACCGCCATCATCTCTAGACAATTTATGTGCCAAAGAAGATGATGGTCTTGCCACAGCCCGCGGGCCGAGCGTCCACTCATGAACGCTCCCCAACCCGTGAGAGAGGCGTCCGTCGTTACTGTTACCCGACGACACGGAGCTCCCAGCGCAGGTCCCAGGGACAGGAACCAAGGTTCTTTCCACATAGCCAGGGCACGGAGACCAAGTCGCGTGACCCTGATCTTGCGGAGTGGGTTTCCCCTCGGGGAGAACCCCTTGGTCCTGAGCCACCACTGTAGCGGTCTCATGTACTGCAGGCCGCACGGTAACACGTTGGACGCTGCTGCCATCAGACCTAGAATTTTCTGGAACTCTTTTACATTGAGTGACTGGCCTAGCTTCACTTGTTTGACGGCTGAGAGAATCGAAGCTATACGAGCCGGCGACAGACGTGCCTGCATCGTCGTCGAATCCCATACCACGCCTAGAAAAGTCATACACTGAGCTGGCGAAAGCACACTCTTCTTGGCGTTGAGTCTCAACCCCAACCCTCTGATATGGGCGAGGACGACATCTCGATGCCGAATCGCCTGATGCTCCGATTGAGCTAAAATCAACCAATCGTCGATATAATTTAGAATGCGAATGCCCTGGAGTCGCAGCGGGTCCACTGTCCATGCATTTTGTAAAGGTTTAAAAAAATGTGCACAAAAATTAAGTGCAAATTTTATTTTCACCTTAAAGTTTCGACCCAGTGTTTTTTCAGGATTTTTTTCCCCATAAAAATACTAAATGGAAACAGCTATTGAACCCAAGACTTTCAGGTTCCTCCAACTATTCAAAGGACTTTCAGGGACAAACCAACACAGTCTCATGAAGATGCGTATCTATACCACGAATGTCATTTCTCGTGGCATTTATACGGCAAAAATGGTTTTTGCGTGCTTAAGCTACGCACTAAAAAACAATGGAGTAGGTTTGGGGGGGGGGGGTAGTTCATGCATATTATACACCAAAAAGTGCGTATCATATGCACGCGAAAAACGGGTACCATATACACGCAAAAACTGTTTTTGCCGTATAAATGCCACGAGAAATGACATTCGTGATATAGATACGAACTTTCATGAGATCGTTCTCAGACAAACATATTGATGAAAGCAAACAAAATTTAAACAACAGAAAAACAGTGAAGAAAATGCAGTATATTATTATAACATTCACAAAAACAAACAAAAAGGTAACACTTTACAATACGGGTGCACTAATAAGCATTAATTCGTGCTTAACTAATGCACAGATAATACTGAATTAATGTCTAACTAATGATTATTTAAGCTACAGTAATGATTACCACATTAGGAACTAATTAAGAGTCTGTAAGGTTAATGTATTAGTTCATACATACATTTTTATTAACTAAATATGTGATTGTGGATTAATTCCATAATAATTTTTTTTTAACTAATAGTGTTAATTAATATGTTAATTACCAGAATGAGCCAAAGTCTTGTATTTAAACTTCCAGATAATATGACAGGTACACTAATATGCATTAATACATGATTAATTATTACATTGTTAGTGCAAATTCATGTGAAAATTACTACAATTACTAAATGAATACTTAATAATGATGTGTCCCAACAAGTAAAGTCATAACATAATGATACCTTTGCACATCATTAGCTAATGATTAATAAAAAGCAGATAACTGGAAGTTGAAGTGCATAGCTTTGACTAATTGTGGTAATTAACACATTAATTTACACTTTTAGTTAATAAAATATGTTATTAATGAATTAATACACAATAACACATTGAATTAATAGCAATTCATGTATTACGTAATCTATTAATCATATAGACTCTTTATTAATTCCTGATGCAGTTATCATTAATTAATGGTTTAGTTCTTCATAAGTTATACATTAACTCATGATTATCTGTGCATTAGTTAAGTATGAATTAATGCATATTAGTGCACCCGTATTGTAAAGTGTTACCAACAAGGACATACATAATAATACTGACTATTGAATGAAAAAAAAAATTGAATAGAAACAGCTCGAAATGTTGACAGTATCAGAGGAAAGGCCTGGCATTAAACAGGGTGTGTTAGTGTAGACGTTAAGCATGTGAGCTTTTAACACAAAGGTCACATGTTTAGTTGCAGGCAAAGGTGGCCAATTATTCGAAGAGTTACTGAAGCCCTTGGTCCACATTGTGTTCTTGAGCAAAGTACTTTAGCTTTCAAATGGTGAGAAGATTTTAGCAATTGCTGTGTAGGAATAAAGACTGAAACAATGAAACAAGGGTCTTTAATGGAAGGGGAAATGCAACATTTTAGGAACCAGCCACTGACAACCCCATATTGTTTTCTAATGAAAGGAATATTGGAAAGTGATGTGTTTACATCCCTGCTTAGCCAAGCACAAGCACATTTCAAGCACTTCATAATGCACAAAACTGCAACAGATTTACAAGCCCGGTGGATTCAATAGCCAGTCACTAACAGCAACAAATGAGAGACCAGATTTACGGCTTATATAAGCACAAACTCAGTCACAGATTCTTATCGGACGTGTGAAGGACGTGCAAATAGCTAAGCACAGAGGAATGTTGTACAACGGGGTTTTCAACTTCAACAACATTCAAATCCAAACAAATGTCTATCCCCATTTGCTCTTTTACTTGTGTCCAAATAAATATAAAAACTAAAACTGTTGATACAATTTAGTAGGACTTAAGTACATCTTCGTATCTTTATAAGCATTTATAATAAACAAAAATGTTATGTCATTTTTTATTGAAACTTGCATGTCATATATTTATATATTTCACATTTGTAATGGTTTTTTTTTATTATTATTATTACAAATTGGATATTTTAAGAGCTTAAGATTGCTTAAGTGTGTTAAGAAACAGTCATGGAAGTGTAACTTAAGTGTCATTTTATTTTATTGGTATAGCCAATTATCAGCAAGTAGTTTTTTTAAAATGTTTTTAAGATTAGTACACAACAGGTGCATTTGGCTTCATCAAAGCAACAAACAATAGCAGATTCATACATTAACTGTTTTGATTTGCTTAATAACAAATGTTAATAACAATTTACAGTAAATGTGCTTCTTACAGCCACCATATTTTAACTTTTCATTAATTTCTCAATAATTTCCAGTCATTTAAAATAGAATGATAAACCAAGAATAGACTATGCGTACTGTGAATAAACAGAGATTGTGACTTACACTGCATGATGAAGGATCTTGTTGTATTTTCTTTCAATGCTCTCCTGGCTTGTGAAGGGTGCGTGAGAATAAAACCTGAACAAAACCTGTTCTCTCACTCATTCTCTCTCATATGTTTGCTGTGTGGGTGTGTCTTCAGAGCACCTGTGACTGGCTGACTTGCAAATGAACCTTGTATTTTGAATTCACATTTTGTTTTTAAAAGGTCTTAACATCTTTGATGAAATTTGTAATCAGCAAAGAACACTTTGTACAAGTTATTATTATGATTATTGATACTATATGATTATACTGGTAAATGAAATGATGAGTCATGATGTAAGATTTTTTTATGATTATGGGTTGAGGTTCAAGCAGGGTGTGAAATGCAAACAGTTGTAACAGAAGTTTGGCGTTTGAGCTGCCTAATGGTGTAAATTGGTACCACAAGCAGGGGTCTTTCTTTGAAGAATGAGGGTAGATGTTGAGAGAAACTTAAGAAAAAAAATGTGTTTACACAAAGCAGAGAAAATCTAACAATTTTGTAAAAATACCCAGGAAGGTCAAAGCAGTACTAATTGGCCGAATGATCTTTTAATGGCTGCTCTATTTAGTGCCTAATTAATTATACAATATACATACCATCACACACGGCATTACAACTGTCCCACTCTCACCACAGTGGCTTATTTCCAGAGTAAAAATGGGTACTCTGGAAATAAGGATTTATTATTTCCAGAGTACCCATTTTGATGTAGGGTTTGATGTAGAACAAAAAATTATCAGTGACCACTAATAGCAGTAGTCAAAAAACACACAAAGACAACCCACCTGCAGCACATATAGCATTATAAAGCCCTAAAACACCAAGGGCCACTAATTTGAGAGTACACTAGTGACTGATGTGAAACTCAGGAAAACATAGGTGATGTAGAGACTCAGCATGCACAGTCTGGCCAATGCAGACAGACCTGGTTCTGCCGGGAGGACAGACTCTGCTTCCAGTGCAGGGGTGCGTTTCCTGTACAACTCCTTGCTTAACTAACACGCACGTGGTGGAGTAGGCTAATAACTTCTTTTCACATCTACATTTTATTATTATGGTTAAGGTTATGCGTACTTGGCGTTCTGTCCGGGTGGAGGGCTCCGAGTTCTAAATTTCTGCCCGAAACCAGAGTACTCCCCCCGTTGGTAAGAGTAGATGGAACCAGAGATGGAACTAAAAGTGAGGTGATGGGGTGGAGGTGGGATGCTGATAAACTGTCAAGGAAAAAAGGTGGGTTCTGCTGTTATTTATCTTGTCCTTAGCTGATTACTGATTGGGTTTATAGGGCTTGGCCACCGTGACTTCATTACTTGGCATGGCCACCATATTGACAGCTTGCTTTACTTCTCCTCGGACTATTGTGGACTGCTGTTTCATACTTCAACGTACTATTTCAACCATGGTAACCTGTTGCTGTATTGTGGGGTGTAACAGCGCAACACATAATCAGCATGGGGAAAAGGTGAAAAATGGAACAACTTTCCACCTCTTTCATGCTTGGAAGCGCACCTACGGAGATCAGGTATCTGAGATAACAAAGAATCGTCGGCTCGCTTGGATCTCGGCTGTAAGACGACCAAACATAACCTTCCAGAGTATCTCTGTGTCGATGAGAGTGTGTATGTTCCCTGCATTTTCATTCTTGTACATTAAAGAAGGTGTACAATTTTCTTTTTATACATTGTTTCTTTCCTTCAACCGCAACACTACGCACAAACACAACACAAATATATCACACCATTATGAACTATATGTTTTCAACACTTCTGCCATGGGATGATAATTTTGATTGTGTTACCAGGAAAACCAGCAAATGAAATGTTCAAGTCGCATCCGGATTAGGCACCATCACTAAACCTAGGCCACACTGAGAAGAAGGCCACAAAGACTGAACGCTATGTAAGGCAGGAAAAGAAAAAAAAACAGCAAAGGACTGACAATATACAGTACCTGCGATGGATGAGACAGTTATGGATGACCTTGTTCCACCAGGTAAGCCTTACAAAGCCAGCAAATACAAGACCTTATATTGTTTTTGATGCTGATGCAGCTGCATGTGGCACATTTAGCTAAAATGGGATTCTGGACAAACTGTTTCCTGGGGATTTGGTGTTGGCTGATCACGGCTTAGACATACAGGACAGTGTGCGACTTATGTGTGCCAAGGTAAAGATCCCTGCTTTCACGAAAGGACACTGTCAGCTGGATGCGAGAGATGTGGAGAGCACAAGAAAAATCGATCACCTCCAAATTCATGTGTAAAGGGTCACTGGAACCGTCAGCAACAAGTACACTATTTTGTCACAAAAAGTACCGATTCACATGGTGTTACCAAGCAAGGATGAAGACGTGGCATTCCTCGATAAGATTGCCTGTATGTTGTGTTCTGACAAACATTAGCCCTAGTGTTGTGCTGAAATAAATGTGCATTAAATACAACCATAAGTGTCTGTTGAATCCATACCCACAATCTTCAAAGTAAACATACTAAGATGCATGTGTCTTATGAACAAGAAGCAATAACAGTTTGATGTACAAAAGTAAAAAGTGTCGCACAATCAGATTTTTTTCAGTGTTTATTTGCAAGTAGTGCAACCTGCAGAATGGTGCAGTGCAGTTGGAATGCTTCAAGATAAAAGTTTACAAATAAAAAAGGGACACAGATTTCTTATTTTATAATTTCTTATAAAACAATAATAATTACATTTTTATAAATTCTTTATACTATAAATAAATAGGTATCTATAAAATAACAAAAATGGACACAGAAAATGGAGGTAGTGCAAATTATAAATATAGTAAACAGCAACAATGCAATAACAGATTAAAAAAATTAGGGAAGTGCAATTTCTTACATAACAATAAATACACTTTATAAATTCTTTCAATACTATAAATAAATAGGTATATATAATATAACAACAATGGACTCAAATAAAACGAATCGGTTAACTAACGTAACCTCGGTTCTCTCTAGATGAGGGAACGAGTATTGCATAAGCTAGCTTACACTACAGCAAAGATTCATCTTTTCTGAGAAGTTAAAGCCAAAAAATTATCCTTTAATTTTGTATCCATTGTCAACGCAGTTCATCTGTAGCAGACCATGAGCGGGCTAGCTAGCAGCTCATTGGTTCGCTCAGGGAGAACTGCTACAGCCTATGAGGGAACTCGGTTGAACTCTCGGCCAATGAGAAGCTGACACGCTCTCATTGCGTCAAAGCCCGCCAAAACGGCGTGGCCCGAGTCTATAAATTGGCGAGTTTCCCGCTGTTTTCCGGTTTTCATTGAATGAAGCGAGAACACTAGTAGCGCAAGCATGGCCGGGAACGCAATACTCGTTCCCTCATCTAGAGAGAACCGAGGTTACGTTAGGTAACCGATTGGTTCTCTTACGAGAGGTTCTCTCGTATTGCGTAAGCTAGCTTATGCTACGGGAACACCTGGTCAACGCCGTGCGCGCTAAGCATCCACAATGAGTCCCGGGGGACCCTTATAAGCGGGAGTTAATAATGTATGTGAACATGAAAGGGCCAGCAAGTGGGCCAGGATTGTGTAGTACATAAGTACGAGGGAAGAACAAGCAGCACGCTGGTTGTATGAGTGTGACTCCCAATAGTGCAGCTCAAAACAGAAGAGCTGAAGCATACTAGACTGCAAGTAGTTTAGCCTGCTGGGCGGGTACTTCCAGATTGTAAAATCTGACAAAGGTGGAAGGGGAAGCCCATCCCGCTGCCACGCATATGTCTTGAATGGAAATGCCGCTGGACCATGCCCACGATGAGGCCATGCCTCTAGTGGAATGAGCCCTGATGCCCAGAGGGCATGGCAGGTTTTTAGACGCATAAACAGAAACAATAGCGTCCACTATCCATCTGGATAGTGTCTGTTTAGAGGCGGCCAGACCTTTAGTGCGCCCACCGAACGAAACGAAAAGCTGCTCAGAGCGTCTGAACGCGGCAGCGCGTGTAGTGTACAATCTCGGAGCCCAAACCGGACAAAGGAGATTGGCGTCACATTTTTTAAATTTTTTTGATTTATTTGATATGGACATAACAACAGCATTGGACAAACCAGATGCATTGTTTTTTAGTGTTATAGCAAAACAAAAAGCAATAATTGCTGGAGATTTTAACATACACGTAGATAATACAAATGATGCTTTAGGGGCTGCATTTACAGACTTATTAAACTCCTTTGGGGTCAAACAAAACGTCAGTGGTCCCACTCACCGTCTAAATCATACACTAGATTTAATTATATCATATGGAACTGATCCAACTGATATAGATATTATACCGCAAAGCGATGATGTCACTGATCATTACATGGTGACTTGCATAATACGTACTGCTGAAATATGTCATGTTGCACCACGTTATAGACCAGGCAGAACAATCCTTCCAACTACTATAGATGGATTCTCAAACAGCTTACCTGATCTATCTAAGCTGCTAAGTGAACCCAAACAAACAGATGAATTAGAGGAAATGACTAGCAGTTTAAGCACCATTCTTACTAGTACATTAGATGTTGTTGCACCAATTAGATTAAAAAAGGTTAGAGAGAAAACTAAAGCACCATGGTACAACAGTGCTACGCATGCTATCAAGAGAGAATTTCCAAACTTAGAGCGTAAATGGAAACAAACTAATTTAGAGGTCTTTAGAATCGCGTGGAAAGACAGTATGTCACGTTATAAAAAGACACTAAAAACAGCCAGGGCTGAGCATCTCCGCAAACTAATCGAAAATAACCAAAATAATCCAAGGTTTTTATTTAACACCGTGGCTAGACTAACAAATAAACAGACATCACCAGAGCAAAATATACTGTTACAGTTTAGTAGTAATGATTTTATGAATTACTTCAATGAGAAAATAGAAAGCATCCGAAACACAATTATAAATGTACAATCCTCTAATGGTGTCTTATGACTCAGCTTCAATTATGGCCCCTCTAGAACAACTACACCGCTTTACAACTAGGAAGAGCTAAATAAACGTATCATTGCTTCTAAACCAACAACATGTTTATTAGATCCAATACCCACTAAACTACTGAAAGAACTATTACCTGTAGTGGAAGAGCCTCTCCTCAATATTATTAACTCGTCTTTATCTTTAGGTCATGTTCCAAAAATATTCAAGCTGGCAGTAATAAAACCTCTCATTAAGAAACCGCAATTAGATGCAAATAACTTGGCAAATTACAGACCCATTTCAAATCTTCCATTTATGTCCAAAATACTAGAAAAAGTTGTATCCGGTCAATTGTACTCTTTTTTTGCAAGAAAATGATATCTATGAAAAATTCCAGTCAGTATTCAAACCGCATCATAGTACAGAAACTGCGCTAGTTAAAATTACAAATGATTTACTTTTAGCTTCTGACCAAGGCTGTATCTCAATACTAGTCCTACTTGATCTTGGTGTAACCCATGTTAAATTTGGATAATATAATTGCATGTTCTAATAGCTAAACTTTAAATTAAAAAGTTGAAACGATCTATTCATATACATTGTGAATTAATTAATATAAATTGAAATAAAAAGCAATGTAATTTAGCACCGAACACGTGATGTATTACACGTACACAAGTTGCGTATGACGTCAGCGCATGACACACGGAAGTGTGCGAGACGCGCTGAACGCGAGATGAGAGATGCGCTGAACACGAGATGAGTGATGCAGAAATGGATTAATAAGGTTTATATTGTTAAAATTCATTTAATAAGGTTATAAGCAACTTTATAATACTTTGTGGTTGACGATGATGAATCATTTTAGAATGGTGATTGCTGATTTGAGTGCAGATGCTAGCCGATTGTGAAGCTTCTTTGAATCTGAAACGGGTGTAAAAAAAAAACCTGTGAAACTCGGGATTTGGTGAGTTTATTTGTGTTTTATTTTCTAAAAGGGATTTATTTTATGTCATTATGCATATTATGCACACTGTGAAGTCTATATTGCACATTTTCTGAATGTTAATGTGATTTTTGAAATGTTGAGTAATATATTTTTGCTTAGCTATGAATGTATATTGATTTGCACATTGTTAATATGCCTGTGAGATATCACACGTTCGTCATGAAAGTGAAACTGTATATTTAAACATTGTTTAAAGAGCAGAGAAGTTATAAAAAACAGTAATATTGAATGTTAATGACACTGTTTTGGTAAAACAGGTCAGGTTTACTGCTTCATTGAAAAAATTCTCTCATGGATTTGAGATGGCGAGCCACCCAAAATTGAATGCTGATTTCTGAGCCTGGGGAAAAGACATTTTTGCTGTATCACAAGGTTTTCGTTGCGCCAGAGACATCAATTTCTTCAGTTAGGAGGACTTTGCTTTGTTCTGTTTGGACCACTTCTTCGAACTGGTAGGATTGAACTGATTGCGCATTTACCCACTGGATCTCTTAAAGGATTTTCTGGACGATATTCAAGAGACAATTCAAACAAAGAGTTAAAACAAGGGTGTTGTTTATTTAACGTTATTGAATGTGAGTCACATGTGAATATTGAATTTCCTTTTACCAATTCATTGTGACAAGAAGTTTCAGTTGGTCAAATTATTGTTTACATCATTTTATTTTATTGAAGGGATTATTTTGGTTTGTTTAAACACGGTATAGGAAATTATGGCACAACAAGCAGAGTAGAATAAGAACCTTAAACTCTAAAATAAAAAACCGAAAGACAGGGAGCTGTCCAAAAGAAATACAGAACAATCTAATAAGAGTCCTACTAAAGACATATGTAAACAGAGACAAAATAGATAACATTGATTAAACTGATATAAGGAAAAGAAAAAAAAGGGATTTAAACCTTGAAAGAATAAGATAAGAAATTCAAAAGACCACAGAAGGTTTATAATTTGTGTATTATTTTATTGTTTTGTTATTATTGTTGTTTCATTTTATGTATGTGACTGTTCAATTTAAAATTACAAATACTTTCCTTACTTGATGTCTGTGATTCATTTACTGCCAATATTCTGTTCTCCACCGACCTAGAAACTGGTCCATTGCTCCAACCTACGTTGAGGGCCCTTGTTACATAAATCTTGGCGAGCCAGCCAGGAGAACAGTGGTAGTAAATATATCTTGAACGGGTTCCTAAAAAAAAGAAAAAGAGAGAAAAATCAGATTTTACAAAAATTGAGATCGCGTCAGTCCTTAGAAACATGGATATCGTTGAAACTGAGAATGTTAAAGTTGCAAACTCCGTGATAGTTCATGGGTTGACTGACACAGAGTGCGACGAAGACTTGATTGAATTTCTAAACAAGCACGGACACGTTAATAGACATCTAAGAGTAGATGACCTAAATTCGCCTTTTCACGGAGACGTCATTGTAGAATATGAAAGCTGCTCTGCCCTTGTAACTCTTGAGCCAGTGTTACCTTACACTTTCAGAAGCTCTCATGATGTCTCTTATGTCATATCACTCTTGTCAAGTACTTACTTGCCAGCAGCAACCAAGCAAGCTACCACTTGTTACTTTGCTGAGCTGCAGAAATTAGCTACAATCAGTGGAAGGACTTTTGAGGAACTTCTGCAAGAACAGTTATCTCAAGTCACTACATCAAGAGCTGAAATCGCAACAGACAAGAATGAACCAAAGTCTTCTTTGGGAACTAGCACTCCCGCACACGATCCTCTTACCTCATTCAAAGATGGCAAAAGCGCAGAGGGGTGTCAAAGTCCAGACACTTTGCGTTCAGTGGCCTTTGGAAAGAGAACGCCAGCTTTTGATATGGTTGATGTAAATCCACCTGAAATCCAGCGTGTGGTAGTCGAACATCTAATAAAGAATGAGGGAACTTCCCACATGCATGCACCGTTCAGACTTAGAGTGTTCTCTGGGAAAATTCCACGTCCAAGCACTGAAGTCGATTATGATGTCTGGAGAGGGAGTGTTGAATTGATTCTCCAAGATCCTTCGCTTTCTGAATTGCACCGATCCAGGAAGATATTAGACAGTTTGTTACCTCCAGCATCGGAAATTGTGAGGCATTTGGGTGCAACGGCCCTACCTAATGCATACCTCGACATTCTGGATTCTGCTTTTGATGTAGTGGAGGACGGAGATGATCTTTTTGCTAAATTCTTGAACACATTGCAAAATACAGGTGAAAAGCCTTCCTTGTACCTACAGCGTTTACAATCAGCTCTCTTAAAAGCAATAAAAAGAGGTGCCGTTTCCAAAGCTGAGGCTGATAAACAGCTCTTGAAACAGTTCTGTCGAGGCTGTTGGAATGACACGTTGATAACAAACCTCCAGCTCGAGGCTAAACGAGAGAGTCCACCTTCGTTTTCTGAACTGCTTCTGCAGTTGCGCAGTGAAGAAAATCGACATTCTGCCAAAGAGAGCCGTATGCGTCAGCATCTGAATGTGCATCGACATAGAGTCAGCTCAAATGCTGTATCCACAAGCTCCTTGGACTTGGATGATGGTGCGGCATCAGAGGAAAGCGAGATTGCAGAACTAAGACGGCAAGTTACAAAACTTCAAAATCAGCTCAGTAAGCAGAAAGTCAAACGGACAGAGGGTGATGATGTGCTCCACTTGAAGAAACAGATTGCAGAACTCCAGAGTCAGTTCACAAAGCTTGGAACCCAAAAGCCCCAAAAGCAAAAAGACCGTGAGACCAAACAGGCTTACTTTAAGCCCACTGTTTCAGCTGTGGTCCCAACGTCCCTAGATAGACCTAAGCCAGGTTATTGTTTCCGCTGTGGCGAAGATGGACATATTGTGTCTGGTTGCGAGAACGAACCAAACCCATCTTTAGTGAATGAGAAACGGAAGCAGCTGAGGGAACGGCAGAGTCTGTGGGACCGCCAACAGTGCCAAGGGGCCTCAGAGTCTTTAAACTGGAATTAGCCCCTGTAGCGAGACGTACAAGGGCTACCATATGCAAAACTAGTCTCAAAAGATCCACAGGAAGAAGGGGTAGTTCAGAGTTTTCCAACAGCAAAGGTCCATTTGCCAGCCTCCCAAAAGGGCTGATAGGGGCTAAGTGTACAGCTGAAGTGTACATAGAAGGGAAACTATGTTCCTGCCTCCTGGACACAGGGTCGCAAGTGACGACAATCTCAAAATCCTATCATGAGCAATCTCTGCCTGAGCTAACCATAATCCCTTTGGAGAATCTGCTGGAAGTGGAGGCTGCGAATGGACAGGTAGTACCCTATTTGGGTTATGTGGAAATGAGGGTCAAGTTCCCTGAGGATTTTCTTGGGAGTACTGTAGAAGTGTCAACGCTTGCGCTGGTTGTTCCTGATACAAGTGGTACAGCTCAGCCAAAAGTGCTCATAGGTACCAATACTTTAGACTTGGCATATGGGAAGCATCTTGAAGCCAATAACACTGTCTGCAAATTCATTCCATTTGGTTATAAGGCAGTAGTGAGAACGATTGAATATCGACGGAATCAGAGAGTAAACAGTAATGTAGGAGTTGTCAGACTCCCCACCGCTGATGCCACTATCGTACTCGCAGGGCAGAATCTTGTCATGGAGGGAGTTGTGAGTGTAAAAGGACAAGTGACGGATAAGTGGGTAGTCATGGAACCCCCCTCTCATTCTTCTGTTCCTGGAGGACTTTTAGTTGCAAGCTGTCTTCTTGACTTGCCTAAGCATCCATCTCGTAAAGTCTCTGTAGTGCTTAAGAATGAGACTGATCATGATATCACCATTCCTGGAAAGAGTGTAATTGCAGAAGTCCATGCCATACAGAGAGTAATTTCAAGTAAGAGCACTCCGAAGGGTGACGTGTCCTCCAATGGAGAAGAGAGATCTACTAAGGAACTCTGCTTTGATTTTGATGACTCCCCACTAACCACAGAATGGAAGGAGAGAATTCCCAGAAGTTAAGGGACATGTCAGAAGTTTTTGCTATGCATGATTTCGATGTTGGGCGAACTGACAAGGTGAAGCACAGCATCAAGCTACATGACAATACTCCCTTTAAGCACAGGGCCCGACCCATACATCCTGATGACTTCGAGGCAGTTCGTCGACATCTGGAAGAGTTGCTTGAGGCTGGAATCATCCGGGAATCGGAATCATCCTTTTCGTCACCCATTGTGGTTGTCAAAAAGAAAAACGGCGATGTGAGGCTATGTATCGACTATCGTAAATTGAATACACAGACCATAAAGGATGCTTATGCACTGCCAAATCTTGAAGAAGCCTTTTCGGCACTGCGTGGAGCCAAGTGGTTTTCAGTGCTTGATCTTAAGTCTGGCTATTACCAGATTGAAGTGGAGGAGAAGGATAAGCACAAAACCGCTTTTGTTTGTCCTCTTGGGTTCTGGGAGTTCAATCGAATGCCCCAGGGGATAACGAATGCTCCCAGTACATTTCAGCGCCTAATGGAGAAGTGTATGGGCGATATTAACCTCACTGAAGTTCTGGTATTCTTGGATGATTTAATCATATTTTCTGAGACACTAGAAGAACATGAAATCCGCCTTTTGCATGTCCTAAATCGCTTGAAAGAATATGGATTGAAGCTTTCTGTAGAGAAGTGTAAGTTTCTCCAGACGTCTGTTAGGTATTTAGGACATGTTGTGTCACAGAATGGCGTGGAAACCGATCCTCAAAAAATAGAGACCATTAAAACCTGGCCAAGTCCTAAGACTCTCAAAGAATTGCGCTCTTTCTTGGGGTTTTCTGGCTATTATCGCCGTTTTATCCGAGATTACTCCAAGATCGCAAAGCCACTAAATGACTTGACTGTCGGATATCCACCGCTCCGCAAGAACTGTAAAGGCAAGAGCAAGATAACGTCTTACCTGAGTCCTAAAGTGCCTTTTGGAGGAAGATGGACAGAAAGTTGTCAACAGGCTTTTGACACGCTCATAGAGAAACTCACCACAGCACCCGTATTGGGATTTGCTGACCCCACACTGCCATACGAGTTGCACACCGATGCCAGCACCACCGGGCTAGGTGCCGCACTTTACCAGCAGCAAGGGGGAGAACTGCGAGCAATTGCTTTCGCCAGCCGTGGGCTTTCAAGGAGTGAGGCTCGTTACCCTGCTCACAAGCTCGAGTTCTTGGCCCTAAAATGGGCAGTCACGGAGAAGTTTTCTGATTACCTGTATGGAAGCAATTTCAAAGTGGTCACAGATAGCAATCCGTTGACTTATGTGTTGACATCTGCAAAACTGGACGCGACAAGTTACAGATGGCTTTCTGCCTTGTCCACATTCTCTTTCACTCTTCAATATCGGCCAGGAAAGAGTAACTTAGATGCAGATGGATTGTCAAGACGGCCTCATGGAATGCTTACCAACGACATGATATCACAGAAGGAGCAGGAACGCATACGTCAGTTCACTTTGCACCACTTACCTGAGGAGGGGAATTCAGTCTTGGTCTCCAGTGATGTAGTCCAAGCTATCAACGATAAACATCTGGTACGCACAGCTGAGGACGATGATTACATTCCTCTGATTGAGTCCCTTTCTGTGAGTTCAGAGGCGATTCCTGAGACTTATGGATGCTTTGAAGGATTTCCAGTGGTTCCTCAGATGACAGAGAAAGAGCTGAAAGATGAACAAAGAGCTGACCCAGCAATACAGGAAGTCGTCTTACAGCTGGAATCAGGGAAACCTTCTTTGCCTGTACTGAGGAAAGAATTACCAGAACTCCCATTTTTCCTACGAGAATGGAAAAAGTTAGAGCTGAAGGACGGTATCCTTTATAGGAAAAGAGTGGTTGGTGAACATACGACTTACCAGCTTGTTCTCCCAAAGAATTTGAGGCCTCTTGTCTTGGAGCAACTGCATGACAATATGGGCCATATGGGTATGGAAAGAACCCTTGACCTCGCCCGAACCCGTTTTTATTGGCCAAGGATGGCTACAGATGTGGAGGTGAAGATCAAGACGTGCAACCGGTGCGTGTGCAGAAAGACTCCACCTGAGAGAGCAGCGCCATTAGTGAATATTCAAGTATCTAGGCCACTTGAGTTGGTATGTATGGATTTCCTATCTTTGGAACCAGATCGTAGCAATACAAAGGACATCTTGGTGATAACTGATTATTTCACGAAGTACGCTGTAGCGGTCCCCACATCAAATCAGAAGGCCAAGACAGTCGCAAAAAGCCTTTGGGAAAACTTCTTTGTGCACTATGGCATACCTGAAAGGCTTCATAGTGATCAGGGGCCTGATTTTGAGAGCAAGACCATTAAAGAGTTGTGTGAGATTGCTGGCATTCGGAAAGTCCGAACCACACCGTATCATCCCAGAGGAAACCCGGTTGAACGGTTCAACCGAACGCTGTTGAGTATGCTGGGTACTCTGGGAAACAAAGACAAGACCCATTGGAGAGACTTTGTGAAGCCTGTTGTGCATGCATATAATTGCACTAAACATGAAACTACAGGGTTCACTCCATATGAGCTGATGTTTGGCCGGCAGCCTAGGTTGCCAATAGATCTCGCTTTTAGAGCACCTGTGAGTAACAGCCATAATGAGTTCCATTCCCAGTATGTGAAAACTTTGAAAACACATTTGCAGGAGAGTTATGAGCTTGCCAGAAAGAATGCAGCAAAGGTTGCAGCAAGGAACAAGACACGGTATGACAAAAGAGTGACCGAATCTTCACTTGATGAGGGTGATCGAATTCTTGTCAGAAATGTGCGTCTCAGAGGGAAGCACAAATTGGCTGATAAATGGGACTCTGAAGTATACATTGTGGTGAACCGAGCTGGTGAGCTTCCTGTTTACACCGTGAAACCAGAAGGAAAGGAAGGACCTTTGCGGACGCTCCATAGGGACTTATTATTGCCTTGTGGTTTCTTGTCACCCTCTGTGGATGAAGAGAAAATGGTACTTAAGTCACAAAGAGGGAGAACAGTTCCGAAAGAGGTAAATGAGGAAGAACCAGAGAGTTCAGAGCAAGGTCTGGATGACGAGGGAGATGACGATGATTATCTGGTGCAAGAAATTGAGCCCAATTCCAAAACCACTCCAGTGAAATTCGTTAAGGAATTTGACGTTGTGAGAACATCAAGAAAAATTCCATTCAGAAATGTTGAACCTGTTACCCAGATGCAACCTGATTCAAACCTTGCCAGTGCCAACATCATTGAAGGTACACATGAAGAATACTTACCTGAACCAGCATACTTACCTGAAACTCAGTCTTTTTCTGAACCAGCCTCTGTCCACAGTGATGTGATACCTGAAAGGGAAGTGTTGGAAGAGAGAATATGTCTGTCTGAAACAGAGCAACAAAGTCTGAATTCCCATGCAAATTCCAGAATGGAGAATGAAACCAACACTAACACAGAACAAAATCAAAAATCCATACCTCATATTCCAGTGGAAGGAGACAGACTGGATCTGATTGAATCTGCAACACCTGAAGAAGACACAGAATCGGATGAATGTGAAGCTGAAAGTAGATTAAGGATGTCCAAAAGAGTGAGACAAAGATCCAAAAGATTGACTTACCCTGAGTTGGGGAATCCCATGATATCTATTATTCAATCTCTTCTGCAAGGGTTGAACACAGCTTTCATTGAAACGTTAGAGCAACCCAGATCGGTTAAACACCCTAAGAAATAGGCCTTAACATTGATTATAAGGCATTATCACAACGCAAAGGGACTTGCGTGGATTTTAAGAGGGGAGGGTGTAACCCATGTTAAATTTGGATAATATAATTGCATGTTCTAATAGCTAAACTTTAAATTAAAAAGTTGAAACGATCTATTCATATACATTGTGAATTAATTAATATAAATTGAAATAAAAAGCAATGTAATTTAGCACCGAACACGTGATGTATTACACGTACACAAGTTGCGTATGACGTCAGCGCATGACACACGGAAGTGTGCGAGACGCGCTGAACGCGAGATGAGAGATGCGCTGAACACGAGATGAGTGATGCAGAAATGGATTAATAAGGTTTATATTGTTAAAATTCATTTAATAAGGTTATAAGCAACTTTAT